AGTGCGCAATGGAGGTTGTACCGCAACTACTGGGCCCTGCCTGGACGGGTACCCATCAACTTGTGTATCAAACTGCTTTCCATGTTGGATGCAACAGTTACCAGGGTACCCAACATCAAACAGTACCAAAACACCACGGTTACCAAAGGTGGCCTGCAGTAGTCTTGGCCGTGCCGAACGGGCCGCGGGATGCTGTAGGGAAAAGCTGTCGCGCAGGGTCCTCAAGAGCCTCGGGCGCAGCTCCAACGGCAGGCCCCGTGAATTTCCAGAATATTGGAATGACAACCCATGAGTCACCAGTAGAATCACTGTGAAGAATCACATAGAATGTCATCGACCTTAGGACGACATCATTTTCTGAGCTGAGGAATTCCTGTCGAAAAATAGGAGATCCGATATGACAAAATGAATTGGGATGGCTTAACTATATAGGGGCGCGTCAGGGAAACTCGGTGGAGCCCACACATCAGAGCTTGCCGGCCGGGCTGCTTGGTATTGAGGGAGCGTGGTGCGTGGATGTTGGCAGACACACAAAAGGGTGCAGGGAAAGGAGAAACCACTGAAATTGAAGTGGTTTCAAAACTGGGATAGATACCAACAAAGTGGAGTGGATGTAAATACCAATATCTAGTCCAAGTCTGGGTGACACAACCTGACACTCCCAATCCTTCAAGACCCTTGTAGCAGTATGTAGCACAAAAAAACACATCAAACACGATCTGAAATAAGTACTCCTTCAGAATACCCAGCACATCAATCATCCACATATATCAACATCACTTTCTGGCAGGACAGCAGTTGAATTGGATCATGCTCCCATGTAATAAAGTTGTCCCTGCTAACTGCTATCAGCTATCCCCAACGCTCAAAGCCCAGTGGCAGGAGATCGTTGCTCATCAAGCCACAGGCACTGCCCAAGGCCTCTGGGGGACACACCAGGTTTGTCTGGCACACTTCGCGGCAGGCGTTGCCGCGAAACCACTTGGGCATCATGCCTCAAGATCCACCCCAGGCGAGTGGATTTGAATGAATTTTGAATCTTCCCTTGAGTTCAACATGTAGGATATCTATTGGTCGTTGTTATGTGGTTAATCCATGCCACCCACCCAACATAACCCCGGTTCAGCATTGGATTTCTACATTGGGGTCCCAAACATACAGGAGGTAGATATTGGGGACGGGATCGCGATACCTCCAGGATCCAAGCATTCCCATACAGGGGGTCCGCAAAGCGATAGATTTTCCGATGTTCCAGGATGGCATGGATGATATTACCTCATTCCTAGGTGTCCAACTTCTCGTGTCCATTGGCATTTCCATCCCCGAGGTGTCCCTCTTCAAACCCGAGCTACGAAAGGGTCGCATGCTGAAGAGCACGATGCCACCAGCCAGGTGCGGGTCACTGACGTTGCCAAGTAGGGTCGATTGGGGCCTCCTTGGAGTGTTGAATGGGGGGACGTGGGGAAAAAACATAGTATGCTTGGGTCAAGGTCAGAACGACACGAACCTCCCCAAAAAAAAACAACAGGTATTTATTTAGCCACTATTTGTGTAGGGCTGGCTTTACGTTTTAATCCTTTTTTGGGTGACGTTATAGATACATAAACTTCACATTCTATCAATTCCTGAATGCGGGAAATCACCCAGTTCTTTTGGGTGGGTTCCCACTGGAAACCGTGACTTATGGTGAGGTCCGTGACTTATGATGAACTTGCATAACGGATTTGTTTCGGATCAAGTTTTATATGTTCAAGTAATCCATTACAATCCTACATATATCACATCTAAGATGTCACATCTATTACATGTATTACATATCTGGTTGGTGGTTTCAACCCCTCTGAAAAATATGAAAGTCAGTTGGGATTATGTTTCCCCATATATGGAAAAATGTTCCAAGCCACCAAACAGATATAATATTACATATCCTTCCAGCAAGCTGTGTATCTTGGAGTTGGTCTTCCCGCCAAGTTTTGCCCCGTGTGAGGACCCAATTTTCCCGCCCCTGACACTTCTGACACTTCTGACACGTGCGGAGAACAAAACAAACGTATCGGAACTGTATATGATTTGTTGACCCTTCACATTGCTTCAGTGTTCGTCGAGGTGCTGCAAGTCCCAACAACATGAATGTGAACATCACAGAGAAAAAAAAAACATATCCGAGGGGAACCAAAAAAACAACAACCCATGGCCCTTGGCGCCTTGGTCATGTTGGGCAAGAACATTGAACCATTTTTCATTCAATCTTGTGAGCTGCTCGACACTCGACACAACTTGGAGGCTCTTTTTTAGTGGCCATTGACTGGGCATTCTATAGCAGTAAGCGCCTGGTGATTTGTCGATCCCTTACTAAAGGTAAAACTTTTGCGGGATGTGTTTTGTGAAGGTTAACCACTTAAGCCATCTTAAGCCGTCAAACTCCAATTAAATCCATGGAATTCAAGTGTGGGGGCTACTACCATGCATCTAGTGCTTGTGGCAAAAACATGCAAAAACCGTGACATGTCTTGACGTTTTGATCTGGGCAAGTCTCTGCTTGAGATCTTCTGCGAACCATCCTTCGGAAGAAATAAAGCCATGCGATGCGTTCAGCAGGAAATCCATATCCAAACTGAGGTTGAAGCCTGGTCGACCAGGCGTTGATTGTGGGGGCTGCGGAATCTTGTGGGGATACCAGGGCAATGCTCTCCGATTATTGAGGATTCTCCTAGAGTCCTGGAGCAAGCCCAAACAACCAACCCGTGACCGAACAGCAAAGCAAACGAGGTCAAAAACCCAAAGCCGGCAAAGGTGGAACAAATGGAAACAACCAGGTTGATTCAAGATGTTGGCATATGAGTTGTGCAACTTCTCTGCGTGGAGGACTCGCTGGCAACACCCCTTCCAGCATTGGTATATCATGAGTCATGGGATCTAGATTTACTTACAGTATGCCTCTGCGAGCTTCACATCATTTCACATCCTAATTGGAGCCAGGCATATGAATGCTTGTGCTATGGCAGCAATTTGACACCCCAACGATATCAACAAATGAATGAGTCTGCCATCCATTGAGAGGATGGGCATTACTTTGTGTAGGGAGCATACGTATCGGTACCTATGCGTGCCTGTATCTACGAATGAACATATATATATATATATATACACATGGTAATTGCGTTATCTTTATCTAAAAGTTAAAAGCTTCGAGGAGACAATCATCTGAGCCTAGCCTAGACAGAGGTTGGCATTTTCGCCCGGCTGCAAATGCTACGGTTGGATCAGGTTTAGGTCTAAAATGTTTGGTGTCAACAAATCAGCTTTCGTGTCACCAAGCCGAGGAACGATTCAAAACATCGTCAGCAAATAAAAACGGATTGTGGTACCTCAGCTGCTCATGAGGTTATATACAGTAGTCACGCTGTGCCTAAGGTGGCCATGCAATTTCCATCAGTGCTTACTGTGCCTAAGGCGGCCATGCAATCTCCAGAAGTGCTTGCTAGACTAGATTCAAGGTTTACATTCTGATGGCAAAGTCAAGGGCCCTCAAGGTTTTGCAAGCTCCCTGCCCCCAACCCCCTTATCGTCACCAGGATCCTCATATGTTTTTTCCTAGTTCCGAATTAATTTTCACTGATTCACGATCCACCAGCATTGTGGGTGGATGGCCCACCTGACATACCCACTACAACCTGACGCCAAGGAACGCTACTCCGATGGCCGTTTGCATCAGCGCAATGGCTGCCGGAGCTGGTTGAAAAAGTCTGAAACCAATATCCTCTTGGTGCCAGACCCTCCCCCCCAAACAAAGTTGGGGAAGTGTGTCATCACCAAACAAGGCTTCCTTGACACTCTTTACATTCTTACATTTTTTGCATTAGTTTTTTGGGAAGGAAAAGCTCGCCAAGCGTCCAAAAGAGATGCCTGAAGCCCATCAGAAACACAAGACCATAATGCTCGGTCCCATCTCCATCTTCTGGCTTATACTGTACAGGATCATTTATTGCGTTTTGAACTATCTTTGTCAAACTCTTTTCCGCCCCTAAGCAAACTACCCCGTCCCCCTAATATTGAAAATTTTGATACATCTTAATCTACATACCACCCAACAATAATGAGGACTCCAAAATCTCAACAATGACTCCAAAATCAACAACCCCAAACCATTTGTTTCGATAAATTCTGGATGTACCCCCAAACAATAAACAAAAACTTCGAAGTCGCCAGGTCTCCACAAAAGGTGGATGTATCATCAGGCGCTGGTTCCTTGGTGGGCTGCGGTTTCCACATCTAATGTCTTTTCAAAGGGGGCTGATGAGGAGAAAATGATATGTACACCATGGACATGGAGAAACACAATAGTCACTATAGATAAAACTGGATAAAACCAAACAGCCCCAAAGAGAGCTACTATTGTGTTTTCTATTGTTTCTCTTTCTTGTGGGCATAACAACAATCTTCCCGGCAAATGTTGACACCTATAGGCTCCCCCCTTCCTAATTTTTGCCCTGGTTAGAAGGAAACTAGCACAAGCTAGACAAAGCTAGATTCAGCAGGACAAAGCGACAAAAGGCTAGACAAGGGTACATACACACGTATATATATATATATACATGTATATATATATATAGATGTATACACATGTATGTCTGTACGTATGTCTGTATGTATGTATGTCTGTATGCTATCCTGCAGGTATTTCATGGTATTTCCTGGTTTCGACGAAATCATAGCTGCTTCGCAGCCGTGTCTGCGGGATCCCTGAAATTGGGCACAGGAAACAGCTTCCGTAGCCAACCAAATAAGCTGGAATAAGATGCAATACCCAAGCGAAAATCACAACACATATCTGCTTGGTGGAGCCACCCCATGAAAGAAATGATATAGAAAGATATAGATAACTGGAAAATCACCATTTTTAATTGGTAAATCCACTATAAATGGCAATTTTCAATAGCTATGTTAAATTGCCAGAGGGCATAGAGAAAAAGAGAGTCACTGATCCTCATCTCATTTCTCTGACTTGGTTGGAACTTTAGAGAATCAATCCACGCCACAGTCCCAGCATCAGTTCCCCAGCGCCCACGGCGACTTCCGTATCTGTGATGAACATGGCGAAGTCTCGCGTTTCTGCACCTTGAAAATGCTGGCGTGCACAACAGCTGCGGCACGTTTTGCACGTTTTCCGAAAGGTTCAAAAGGGTGATTTAATGGTGGTTTGACCATGGTTTAACAATGAATATTTCATGGGATTTACCATCCAAACTCACATACGCTCACATAGCTCTGGAAAATCACCATGTCTCATTGGTAAATCGTCTGTAGGCTCCATAGCTATGCTAGATCATCAGAGGGAAAACCTGCTCGTTTCTCCTCAACTTTCAGCGCCCATGGCCTGACATACAGCTGATATCATCCAAGCAACCCATCAGCAAATCCAACATTTGATCCCCCAGTCCTGCGACGCGGGGGGTCAGGCCACTGCGACCTTCGGACCATCACAGAGTTGATGGAAAATCTATGGGGAACCGCGGTTTTTGACTCTCAAACTGAGGGGGGTCGTGGATTGTAAATGTTCCTTGCCAAATGGATTTCTCTGAAAATCGGGTCCTTCTCATGACACTTCATTGTCATGTCCCCATGAAAAACCCATTTGGTGAGATATTGTTTTTTGACAAACCCAAATCTAAGATCCAACAACAGAATCAGCTTTCTCATCTTGTCCTACAAAAGGAATGGCTGCTGTACTGAGGAGTGCAGCAGGGACATTCCGACTGAGGATGTATAGGATCATGCTCTGGGCATCTAAGTCCAAGGATGCTCCATCCACCTAGCAGAGTGTCGCAGTACCAAGAATTGGATTTGATTTGATGTTAGCCATTCCTTCAAGAATGCATCACAAAGCAAACAAAGAAATTACAAAAATAGAAAAATAGGGGGCTCGCACCCCGTGAAAAATACCGGAATCAAAACTGTAGTCTGCTGTGGGTCCCCTGCCCCACACAATAAACAACAACTTGAAATACACTCCGGTAATCAAACATGGCAATGGACAATGCACTATTTATAGGTGAATTTCCTATTGAAAATATTGAAACACCCATTTCTAGTGGATTTCCACTTGCCACGTTTGATTACCGGAGAGTATCTTCAGAAATTGCTGAACCAAGCCACAGACCAAATGCAGTGCAGCAAAGGTCCAGCTGGACCGAACCTATGCTGCCACAGCGAGCTCGGGCTGAAAAGGCTGTGGATTGACATCCCCAGAGGGGAACAGTAAGCAACGAGTTTGTAAATCTGACTGGTAAGGTATCTGGTGATTAATCATACTTGGAAATCTGGTTGGGGTTCATCAGTATTAATCATACTTGGGAAAGTATCTGATTCATCTCGGGTGGCCATCTGAAGGGCGCGCAGGACTCGATGGACCGCGGCAGGACCAGCAACACGTGGTGGTCGATGCCGTGGCGCGACTGAAGGGAGCGCCGCAGACGTGCCAACCACACCTCGGTTCCGATTTGTGAGCCCACTTACCAGTGGAAACTAATAGCACCAGCAAAAACACATGCCACCTTTACAAATTGTTTAACAATCATAGTGTACCTATTGATCAAGCAGTGGATTCCCCAGTCATAGTGGATTGTATAACCGATTAACCAAAGGTAAAATACCGCATGACCTTGCGAAAATCCTAGGATCTGAGCAAGCAACAACTTTAATTGGTTTCGTGGCCCACGACTGCTTACCCCAAGAAATCATATGAAATCACCATTGAATCCTTGGACCACCATGTTTATCCAATGTCTTCCCCATGAAAATCTTAAAATCTGCCTGAAATCACCAGGAAGCTTTTCCAGCAGCTCCCAACCCGTTTTTTGCTTCGCTACCAAGGCTCCCCCAGCTCCTCCCCCGTCAACCTGATGGCGCTTACCAGCACGGCTCCGCCCAAAATTGGACGATGCCCACTCTCCAAGACCTGGCCAAAGATTCCCAAAGCGTCGACCACCATAAACCAGTGAAGTCACAACGTGAGGTCACTATAAGTCATCCAAATACACGTATATATTCATGTGTATATATGGAAGGTAATGGGAATATAAGTATCAATATAATTTAATTGCAATTTAATATAAGCAATTTTGTGACGTTGGATGTTTATAAATGGATTTGGAAATACTCCATCCATTGCTGCTAATATTAAACACGCCCCTGGAAACCATGGTCTGGTGTTGGATGTACATATTCATTTTGGGAGCCACATGGGGGTGTTTAATACCAAGAAAAGAACAACTCTCTCAATGATTTCGGATGTTTCAATCGATAACCTATAGGAAACCATGGTGTTTACCAGAAGTTATAAGGATTCCTTCCCCCCACCCAAAAAAGTAAACCAATGCTGGGAATGATGTGTTCCATTTTCACTATGGAAATATATATATATATATATACAACATATATAAATATATACAATATATATACTATATGTATAAATACAATGTATATATACAATATATACAATAACCACAATATATACAATATATACAATATATACAATATATACAATATATATACAATATATACAATATATACAATATATACAATATATACAATATATACAATATATACAATATATACAATATATACAGTATATACAATATATACAGTATATACAGTATATACAATATATACAATATATACAATATATACAATATATACAATATATACAATATATACAATATATACAATATATACAATATATACAATATATACAATATATACAATATATACAATATATACAGTATATACAATATATACAATATATACAGTATATACAATATATACAATATATACAATATATATATATATATACAATGTATCATGCTATATCCATGTTCAATACTTCCATGTTAGAATCAAATACCATTTTCCACGACCTTTATAAATGATGTTTTAGCACGCAAAATCCAGCACAACTATATACGATGACTTCCTTCATGGATCAGTTCTCCGAAACAAAGCTTCTGATCCGAACAAACTGTTGGAAATTGGTTCAGTGACGCGCCCCAGGCCACTTCGGGCACCTGTAACAGCGGAGCATCCTCGAGGCCGCTTTCGCTCAGCATGGGAACCGTCAGCAGGAAGTCGTGATGACGCTGCTTGGAGAGCAGGGCTGTGAGACCCCTCGGCATGGGACGCGGATCCTGGAGGTTGGCTTGTTGGACATGTTTCATTTTGTCGAGATGCAATTACACTTACTGGTGCTTAGCAGGGAATGAGGGAATGATCCACAATAACTATCAATAATCATCCCGTTCCCCTATTCCATCCATTCCCTACTAAGCACCAGTAAGTAGATAATGGAAATTGTCATGTTTCATTTTTTTTCTGACTGAGCAGTGCCAATTCCGGAGACAAATTGGCTGAGATTTGGTGTTTCGAAATCTGACACAGCAAACGCCCATATAGGTTTCGAACTGCCGGAGATGGGGGAAAAACAACACTCATCTGATGGTTTAGGGAAGAGGAGTGACCTACAGTGACCTGCTACAAACCATGTTCCAACTTTCAAGATCATCCAAGCATGCAGTTGGCCCATGATTGGCCGTGATACCACAGCCCGGATGATCCGACCCATATAATGTTGCGATCTGATGCTAGGCTCACTATTGTGGCAAAAAGTGAATGTAACGTCTTTTTGTAAATGTTTGCCTGCCTTTCCCGAAAGATCCAACCTCTTATTTAACCCTTGTTAATTATCCCTTATTAAAGAACAACTTTTGCACATTCTCGACAAATTTCCAAGGCACTGGACCAAGAGGGCCCAGTTCACTTTAGTAGGTTTGTTGCCTAGGTCCGGAATTACAGCAATTATTACTGAGGTGATCACTTACGTGATCCTGGAGACAAGAGAAGAAAGAAACACTTTTTACAAAAGCAACCCTGACTTGATCTTTCTCTTTCTCTTCCACGTTCTCTCTTTTTCTTTCTCTTTCGCTTTCTCTTTCAGCTTTCATTTTTCTCTCTCTCTCTCTCTCTCCCTCTCCCTTTCGTAGACCTTTAATGACAAAAATGACTTCAGAAGCAAACAGAAACACAATCAACATGCTGAACCCCACAAGCACAACGCGTACTACTACCAGTAGTACGAGTACTACTAGTACTACAAGTTCACCAGTTCAAGCGCAAAACACAAGTTCTAATTAGATTCCAGTTGCCGCCAATTAAAGTCCCTACTTAAATGCATGATCGTCTTTTTCTGGGAAACAGCTTTTAGGAACTCAACTTTAAAGAGGGTATAGCATTGGTTTGAGGTGGGGAGTACACACAAAACAAGACAGAACATTAAGAGGATCTTTGAAGATTGGAATGAGATGGAATGAGTTGATGTGGCCTGAACCCTACTCATGATGAATTTCTGCAGCTGAACCAACCGAACGTGATTAAACTGAAATTGACTTAATCGTCCGTTAAATGCTGGCTGAGATTGTCAATCCATGCCCAGGATGATCTGGCATCGAGATAAGCCTTCCAACATTGATTCGCCCATCCGGATGGGGAATGAACTGGACTCAGGGACCCTGACCATGCGGTTCCATTTGACATGTTTTGTTTTGTGTTTTTTTTTGTGTGTGTGTCCCTAGTTTAGGGACACCTCATGGTCATGATGATCATCATGATCATCTCGTTTGGCGGCTTCTGCCCAACACCAAAAATATACACACGCAACTCGCAACTGGAGAATCTCGTAGATAGGATGGAAACTAAACACACTTTGATACCAGCATCATACAGTATAAACACGTTGGAGGATTTTCAGGAAAGCGTTTCCCATCCGCAACGCGCCAGGGCCGCCAGGTCTCCAAATGGGCCATGCGTTGTACAACAACTTGCTCAGGTCCGCCTCCTCCCACCTGGGCGGGCGGGATTTCCAGCTCTGGGTCCCAGCGACAGACAGCAGCCTAGACACTGGAGCAGTTCCTCGACGTCTTTGTCCAACGAAAAGATTTCCTCCTGCTTTTGCTCGTTGTCATGGCCAATGCAACCTCAGATTACATGGTGAAATATACACTGTACAGGTATGTATATATATATATAGGTATGCCCTTGGATGATATGTATATATATATATATATATATGTGATTTCGTGATTTTCGATAGACATCTATTTAACATGGTATAGCATGAGCTTAAAATAGCAAACCAATAGAAGCGAAACCAGGGATCTCCCCAGGTCTATTCTACCAGACCTGCGAATCCTGACGCGCTGGATTTCATTATGCTACTAACAGGCTAACAGTCATGTAAGCACCATGTCAATCTCTATATATTTTGTTTTACAATATTATATAATATTATATATTTGTATCATTATCTATTTGCATATTGTGATGAAAATCTGCATGATATTTCATTATGTGCAGATCACCTTTGTTATCCCTTTCCTCGATATGGTGAAAACCACAACGCCGTGCTAGCCACGAAAACTGTGAATTTGTCACGGCCGAGGTGCGAACGAGTTTCAAAGCCATGACCCCGCTGGGGCACACTGCGCGTGCCTCTAAGTGTTGCCACGGACATGGAGAAGCGGTTGGATGGAAGAAGAAGAAGAAGAGGAAGAAGAAGAAGAAGAAGAAGAAAAAGAATGAAACACCGTGGACCCCTCCGGCTTTTTGTTTAGATTTGGGCATGTTTACTCGCAAAAGATTTCATGTTTGAGGATGTTTTGAGCAAACAATGCCAGCACACAGGGGCAAATCGGATATTCAGAGTTGAAACACAGCCTATAGATGGGACCCAAATGTGCGTAAATCCACTACTAAACCATGGTATTTAGGGGGTTTTGATATTAGGGGATGGAATTTACCTATATAAGATTGAAATAGCCGTCAAAGCCGAGCCGCAATCTCACGCACGGTTTCCCCTTCGTCCCAGCCGGTCAGCCGGTCCCCGGTCACCCCTCACCGGCCCTCACCTGCTTCCCAATGAGGCTCGCAGAGAAGGCCACCCTTGCCGAGTTGGTCCATTCGAAGGCCCCGTCACGCCTCAGTCTGCCAGGCTGCCAGCAAGTTCTCCTCTGGCAATTTCTTACATAGCTATGGCAGCTATGGAAAGCATAGAAAAGCTCATTTAGTTCGATGATTTAAACTGATTTACTATATTTACCTATCAAAAATGCTGATTCTTCATAGCTATGTTAAATTTTGTTAAATTACAGGAGGATATATGGCAATACATGACATGGCATAGTACCGTCCTTCCAACTGATACAGCCTCTGTTGCATTATCGGGCTTGGGTTTGACTATTTTCCTCTAACATGGGATGATTACTTGGGGTCGGTGCTACTTTCCGGGGTGGGGTATAATATGGTCATCCCACTATCATGCTTGGTTGTCCCTAATTTAATCTAATTTAGGGATGACCATTACCTTTCATGGGAAAATAATGGAAAACAGAACGCACATATACATATATATATAATATTATCTTGACCATGGCACACATGGGCGGACACCTCAAAAAAACAAATCTGATGAAGTAAATATATGCAACGTTCGACGTTCAGTAAGTTTTCCTCAACACATGGGTGGAAACCTCCCAACAATATTCGTGAAGTAATTAGTATGCATATACTCAACACATGGGTATACATTGGTGGAACCCCCTACTAAAGTAGCAAATTTCAAAGGACAATGGCAATGGTGCCTTATTGATTTCTTTCAACCCATCTGAAACATGTTGGCAAACTTATTTCATCACGCACAAAGTAAAACAACATCGAAAATGATACGTGTTTGAAACCACCAGGCAAAGAATGAAGATGATTTTCACCGGATTTAAGGGCTTCGGCTTCGATGCCAACATAGAAACGCCCAATGATCAATCCTGGGTTGATAAACTCTAGACTCAAGAGCTGGATATGGAGTAACGCCATTTTGGCGACACCGCCTGTATCAAGCAAAGGGATGTCACTACGGGGTTGGCACCTTCTTACATAGATTTGAAAAGTAGCTTGCGTCAACGGTCAATCCCCCATTAGCTGTGCGTTGTGTATCGTCGTGTCATGTCAAATTCAAAGAGCGTAAGTGCGTAAGCGTCATGCAGCTCCCTCGAGGATTGAGCTTGAAACCGCGTCAATGGTCAGTGATGAGCGATGTCAAACATCACAGATGCGCAGCAATCTTGGATGTACATTCTGAAGAAGCCCCTCTTCCTCCCGGTGGTTGTGAAGCCTCTTATCATGTTTCGTTTTCCTTTCCCTTGGTGTAATAGACATGTCGAATGTTACCAACCTGTCATCCGCTTTGTTTGTCTCGGGGGATATCTGCAGCTAAATATCTGCTCACTGAGTCGTTTAGGAGACACATTTATACAATATATGAATCATGCTTTTGCCATCGCCGTGTCAATGGTCCCGGTACAGCAACCGTTTTTTTCCTGCCATCAACATCTTACCCATGTGTCCAAAATGCACTCAGGCGGTGGGGATAGTTTACGAATGTTTGTAACCATCGTTGACGTTGTGACGTTGTGAGGTGAGATCGTGATCAACTTCAGCCAAAATTGAAAATTGACTAGACCCCGTATCCCCATTATATATCACTATATATCATTATATTATATCCCCATTGTATCCCCAGAATACCACCATAGGTTTGCTGCTGAAAGCCACTTCCTTTCGGGTTTTTCCGGATTCCACGCTTTTTCGCAAAGATGCTCGATCTTCTCCGCCAGGGCCATCGCCTTCTGCCAGAAGGTGATACCCTCCTTCCTCGATGGAAGAAATGGCACTGTGAAATTCACCATGAAAGAACTATGAAGTACCCGTTGTAAGGTGAACTAGAAAGAATACTGGTATTTAGTTCACAGCAACAAGATAAAAAATAACACAACTATACACAACTTGTAAGCGGGGTGCACTAACCCACTTTGTCAACTGGAATGAACATTGGTGAACCATTCAAAAGATTCTAGTGTCACTGCTTGTAGGTGATCAACAGTTGGACATCTGTAGCCTAGCCTTTAAGGTACCTTAGACATAGCAAAGGACATGTTCATTCGCTCATTGCTGCCAAGTTTGAATTTGTGAACATGACACTGAAGTTTATTGATGTCAAGGTCCATTCCAAGCAGGCAGGGTTGACCCAAACACTCCTGCCCTTTGCATGGAAAGGATATTCTTTCTGACATCCGTTGAAGTTCCAAGGAAGACTGCATAAATATACTTCACCAGCCCTATTCACTTCGAAGGATGATCCCCCTTGCTGACCATCATTTCTAGCGAGTTCGTTATAACCAATCCCGATTTGTGCCTGACATGTCTGAAATATGGGCTTCGTTGGCCTCATCCTATTTCCTATCAGATGGGTTTGAACCGTCGAGGGAGAAGACCCTTCAGTTACCTAAAATGAAGCTTGCCATCATAGTTGTCCTCCAGTGCAATTAAAATATGCCAAATATAAACCATGGGGTAGATGATGTTGCTTGAAAAAAACAGTGGGATTTCATGAGGTTTCCATACTCGTGTGGCACCTGCACCACCGGTCTTGCCCAAGGCCCGAACTTTTCATCGTCGTTCACCGCCATGACGTCATCCCCAGCAGTGTCTGAAAGCTCTCGACCTCGATATCAATGGGGAAACGGCATCAGACATGCGTGCCTTGTTTACTCCAGCGATTCATTCCCTTTTCCCTGCACTGATTCTTTCTAGTATGCAGGTATATGAAAAAATATTTGATCTGAATAAATAGATAATCTAATATAATCCATATTATAGATACCCCACAATCAAAACCCTGATGAGATGTATTGGATCATGAACTGGGAGTCCAAAAGAATATCCTCGGGGGATGGTGCTTGGAACTGGTTGAGTGATCCGATGCTTCTGCTTTCTACCGCTTCCGCTTCATGCTAAAACACAGTCATACCCTACATCTTGAACGCCTTTGTTCATATTTTTTAAAGAAAAAAACGCATGGATCTAGAGGCAACATTCCCATATTCAGAAAATCTTCGCATACCATGTTTTGATCGTATTCCAGACCTGGGTTTTGGTGTGTTACTTTGATAGGCATTTCAGCTCAATCTGGAGGGAACAGTTGGGCCATGGCGAATCCACTGAATGCCCCCCCACAGCTTTCTATCCCCTATGTCGTTCCAAAGCAGCTGTGGACGTTGGATGAATTGAAGGCTGCTTTGATAAGGGAGTTTCCTCATTTGTCCACCGAAGAAGGACAGGGTTGTCAAAGGTAACGTTTTTGAGGGTTGGCTGTGTAAAAATTAGCCAGTTTCTTCCCGGGGCCTCACCCAAGGTGAACTCGGAAAAACAGAACCCACTAGCTGGTGTGCCCCTGGAAGTTGGGGCTGGCTTTGGGATTGGAATTTTGGTCCTGGCCCCGAAATTTCCCTCCGTGGTCTCTATACCAGCCACGCATACTCAGAATTCTTCGCATTCCATAATTTCTTCGCACTCCACAGCTAGGGACGTACACATACTGTAAATTCACGCGCTCTGCAAGATCTTCGCACTCCATAAAATCGTTGTACTCCGTGTTTTTTTTCTTTTTTTCCGTTTTTTTTTGCTAAAATCGCCTGGAATCACGTTTTCTGGAATATGGGGAAGATGGAGGTTTCGCGTGAGACGTCTGTAGTTTCACATACTATCGCATTCCAGGCCATTTTGGCAAAAAAAAAGAAAAAAAACTCAGCAGGGTGAATTGTGATAATTTTCTGGTATATGATGGAAAAACATTGGGGTTGGATCCAAAAAGAAGGTCGAAGGGAGCCGAAGGGGGCCACGCATACTGTTTTATTTTCGCATTCCAGAAAATTAGCGCACTCCAGGGGTGGCATCGTACTCTATCGGTGGAATAATTTTGCACGGAAGACAACAGGATCGTCGATGATTTGTGTTCCCAGATCCTGTTGTGCAGAGCTCTTTGCGGGGCCACAAAGATGTCAAGAAAGATGGGGATGGCGCTGCTGGTGAAAGGCCAGCCAAGCGTGCCAGAACATAAGCTGAAAGCTTATGAATTGGGTTTTGAGATCCTGAAAAGTGTAGATGACAATTTCCCATAAGAACGTTATTAACACATTTTTGGAAAGCTCAACACTATTGATTATGACATTTCCAGAAATTGTTGAAAGTAAGGATCGTCTTTGGGGAAGAACATGTGCAGTCGACAACGTACGTGCCAGAAGATAAGGAGTACGTGGCAAACTGTATGAAATACAAACTTCACCTGAAAGGGGGTCTTCGCAATTCCCTGAAATTTCCCAGCTATTTTGGCATGGAATATGCTCGGCCCTGGAATATGGGCAAGAAATTGCTAGAATGGATGTCACACCAAAACTTGCGGCATGATGTGACACATTTCAAGCCTGCTCCATCAACTCCCATCACCATCGCCATGGGGACACGGCCCATGTTGGCGCCCGGTATCCTGTGTGTTGGTGATCTGAAGAGACTGCAGGTCTCCCTTTTTGGACCAAGCATCGTAATGCTTGTAGATCCCAATGTTGGGTGATGCGCCATTGATCTCTATAGTGTGTAATTAGTTTTGCTCAGCCTAAAAATCAATTACCTGGCTGCGGGCCTTTCATACCTAAATAAAACAATATGTTTTTTTGCATGATTGATGCCCATTGAAGCTGGTTAAATCCCCATTATATAAACCACCCTTTTCTGGTGATAGGCAAAGTCTTGCGGGTTATATGTATATACATATATAGCACCATAATTGCTGTTTTTACCACCATTCTTGTTCGATGTATCTACTGTATATGTTAACTCTTCGTAGTCACAGTATATCTATTGATTACACGAATATTTTGGGTGGTTCTGCCAAGTCAATGTCGAGGACAGTTTTCTGTCTTGGCAAATCCCTATTAATTAGTAAAACCAAGTGGATGTTTTTTGGGCAATACTCAATACTGTCATTTGTTGAAGCGGAATTTAAAAAACAATGTTTGTATGCTTATGCATCCGGGTTGTCATTATACCCATATTCTGGATGCTTCTCCCCGGGGTTGATCCAGACCCAATCAAAACCGGTGAATTGCGCAAACAAAAACACAAGGTGAGGCCCCGCAGTCACAAGTCTGTTTTTGTTTAAACCCCATTGATACTAGTGTATACCCCATAAACATCCATAAATCCTTTAGTTTTCAGTCCAAAAAAACACACAACTTCGCGATTTCCTGAGGCCCTTGGTTCACCTTGGCCTTGCTTCACCCAGGGCTTCACCGTAACGCCAAGGCGCAGGAGTCGAACCTCTCCAGCGTCATCTGCCTCTGCAGGAGCCAATGCTCCACCGCGCTGCTGGCCGCTTTCAGCACTTCTGGAAGGACGCCTGGACTCCCGGGAACGGATTTTTGCGTTTTTTTTGTTTGGCTTATGTAATATTTATATAGATATGAATGCTGTGTCCTACTTATTCCACCAGCATGGCACAGCAGTTGGGCCATTACCTCCACAAGAGTGCCCCCAGCAGTAATGCATCGTCCCAACTACTTCCCTTGATCCGATGATAGAACTCCAAGAAAATCATGGCTTTGAAGGTTCATCTGGTTAGATTCTGGCCTTTTCGGGCTTGAATTTGCCACATTGCCGTTGGAAATAACTACATCAAATCCTATCAAACATTGTCGAAGCATCAATGCAGCATCGAATTTCTTGAGTTCATGTACAGGAAGATGCCCAACACACAATTGACAAAACGTTGGCCCACACCTTACATGATTCGGCCCCTGCAGGTATATTGGGAGCTACCATCGAAGCAACACATCTATTGGGTCGAATATCACTTTGTTCGCTGTTTCAATTTCAATCCAAATTTGGATTATTTGCACAGAGTACAGCAAGTAATCAATTGTTGCTGATTTGTTACTGATTGCTTATCCCTCAAGAGTCTTGCCACCATTGTAGTTGCAACCCTTTGCCCATCTTGCCCGCCTGCAGCAGTTTGAAAGAAGGTGGGCAGAGGCGTGCGCAAATGCCCATCGATCCAGCTTTTGAGAGCCTTGGTAGTTGGAGAAGCAATGCCAACCCCCGATTGATAAACCCCCAAACTGTTTAATTGGGAGAGTACCATTTAAGTAACATATGATACTGCAACATTTCCGGGGGAACTGCCTAACCGCTCTAATTCATCAACCACATGTTCATTTCTGAAAATATCTAATATATATATAGTGCCGGACATATACTTAGAACATTGGTTTTGGAATTCCAAAACATGTTCTAAGTAGAGATCCTGGACCACTACTTAGAACATATATGTTCACGGGATGTTCTAAGTAGAGGTTTTGGGGGTTCCCCCATGTTCTAAGTAAGAATCTCCCCAGCTATCTACGTGCATTTTTGGAAAATCCTGTGTATATATAATATATTTTTAATATTGTAGTTGTCCGGCACTATATATTCATATAATAAAAACTTTCCAAACCTGATGTTCGAATTGTAGCCTCTCACCTAGAGCATCCGGATCCATTCGCTCATTTTGTTCAGCTCAATATATGTACCTATTTATCTCGAATCTCGTCCCGCTGTAGGCTTTGGACCATTCCAACCGCTCAATCGGTCATATAATTTCAATATACCTCAATATAGACATCTCCATGTATCTTAACGCAACATCACACCACCTGTATATATAATATAAATATGCAGTGTTAAGTTGTATGTATGTATACATATACATATATTTACATGTATATATGATGGCATGTTCTAAGTAGAGGATCCTCATATGTTCTAAGTCACTTAGAACATACGTCCCCCTATTCGCCGAAAATGTTCTAAGTAGAGCGCGCGTACCCACCGAAAAATTTCCAAAACGATGTTCTAAGTAGTTGTCCGGCGCTATATATATATATTATTCATGCCAACAACGGCTGATGACACATTTCCCTGCCAATCAAGGGTCAGTACATTGGTGGGACTTATACGCAACCATCTGTAACTTTCAAACCTCGGAACTCGGAACCAGATGATAATTACCTGAAAAACTGGTTACTGTAGACATTCATGGCGGCAACAAACGATGACTGGTTTCCTAAAGGCTTTCCCTCCAGCCTCCAAATGATTAAGGGTTCGTTCCACCCATATCATGAGTTCCCAATAGCGTTGATAGATTATATAGTGGATATATGAGTGGATTTGTGAACATCGCCTGCAACTCATCTTGGAGGTCCAAAGTTTTCCGGTTCCCACCGCCCAGCCTGCGCATCCGGCTGGGGGTTGGTGGCGACTACTGGTGCATAGGCATCCTCCATCAGTATGACTAAGTCGGACAGCAGTCCTCCCGAAGAGCAGCAGGGACCAAATAAAAATAGCGCTTTAGGCTTGTTTATCCGCAAAAACTTGTTTTGATACTGTCACCCTTATCAAGGAACATGTTGGCACTCCAATCTGGGCATACTCGATCAGTGTAGGTTGCGATTTAGGAGGCTCTTAGTGTGAAAGTCCGCATCTATCTGCCTGGTTCCCTGCCGTCCCGTGCACATAGGCAACATACCTAATCTGATCTATCAAACCCTTATCAAGAAACATGTTGGCACTCCAATCTGGGAAGATTCTATCACTGTAAGTTGTGCTTCAGGAGGTTCTAAGTGCGAAAGCCCCCACCTATCTGCAAGGTTCACTGCCATCCCGGGGACATAGGCAACATACCTAATCTGATCTTTAAAAACCTTATATATCAAGAAACATGGTGGCACTCCAATTCTATCAGCGTAGGTTGGATTTAAGAGGTTCTACATGCGAAAGTCCCCACCTATCTGCATGGTTCTGCATGGTTCCCTGCCATCCCGTTCACATAGGCAACATACCTAAATTGATCTATAAAAACGTTATCTATCTGCAAGGTTCTGCATTGTTCCCTGCCACCCCGTGCACATGGGCAACATTTAATCTGATCTATAAAACCCTTATGAAGAAACATGTTGGCACACCAACCTAGACAATTTTTTTTTAGGGTAAAGGGTAGGTTGGGATTTAGGAGGTTCTAAGTGCGAAAGTCCCCACCTATCTGCATGGTTCCCTGCCATCCCGTGCACACAGGCAACATATCTCATCTGATCTATAATCCTTATCAAGAAACATGTTGGCGCTCCAATCTGGGAAGATCTTAATTCTACCAGAGTAGGCTGTGATTTAGGAGGTTCTAAGTGCGAAAGTCCCCACCTATCTGCGTGGTTCTGCATGGTTCTGCATGGTTCCCTGCCATCCCGTGCGCATAGGCAACATCTTATCTGACCTATAAGCCCCTTATGAAGAAACATGTCGGCACACCAACCTGGGAAGATTTTAATTCTACCAGTGTAGGCTGTGATTTAGGAGGTTCTAAGTAGTGCGAAAGTCCCCACCTATCTGCATGTTTCCCTGCCACCCCGTGCGCACAGGCAACATATCTCATCTGATCTTTAATCCTTACGAAAAAACATGTTGGCGCTCCAATCTGGGAAGATTTTAATTCTACCAGTGTAGGCTGTGATTTAGGAGCTTCTAAGTGGGAAAGTCCCAACCTATCTGCCTGGTTCCTGTGCATCCAGTGCACATTGGCAACATCTAATCTAATCTACATAACCCTTACTGAGAATCAAGTTGGCGCTCCAAACACAATCTGGGAAGATCTTAATTCTACCAGAAAAGGCTGTGATTTAGGAGGTTCTAAGTGCGAAAGTCCCCCACCTATCTGCCTGGTTCCCTGCCATCCCGTGCACATAGGCAACATACCTAATATGGTCTATCAAACCCTTATCAAGAAACATGTTGGTACTCCAATCTGGGAAGATTCTATCACTGTAAGTTGTGATTCAGGAGGTTCTAAGTGCGAAAGTCCCCACCTATCTGCATGGTTCCCTGACATCCCGTGCACACAGGCAACATATCTCATCTGATCTATAATCCTTATCAAGAAACATGTTGGCGCTCCAATCTGGGAAGATCTTAATTCTACCAGAGTAGGCTGTGATTTAGGAGGTTCTAAGTGCGAAAGTCCCCACCTATCTGCGTGGTTCTGCATGTTTCTGCATGGTTCCCTGTCGTCCTGCGCGCATAGGCAACATCTAATCTGATCTACAAAACCCTTATCAAGGTGTAGGTTGTGATTTAAGAGTTTTTCGAGTGCGAAAGTCCTCACATATGCTTCTGCATGGTTGCGCATGGTTCTGCATGGTTCCCTGCCATCCCGCTTGCATAGGCAACATCTAATCTGATCTAAAAAACCTTTATCAGGAAACATTTTGGCGCACCAACCTGAAAAGAATTTAACTCGATTGGTGTAGGTGATTTAGGAGGTTCAAAGTGCGAAAGTCCCCAACCTATCTGCCTAGTTCCTTTCCATCCCGTGCGCATAGGCAACATACCTAATCTGATCTGTATAACCCTTGTCCGGAAACATGCTGGAACTCCAATCTGGGAAGATTGTGCCAGTGTAGCGTGTGATTCAGAAGGTTCAAAGTGCGAAAGTCCCCACCTATCTGCGTGGTTCTGCATGGTTCTGCATGGTTCCCTGCCATCCCGTGCGCATAGGCAACATCTAATCTGATCTTCAAAACCCTTATCAAGAAACATGTTGGCACACCAACCAGATTTTGATTCCAGTGCAGATTGTGATTTAGGAGGTTCTAAGTGCGAAAGTCCCCACCTATCTGCCTTGTTTCCTGCCATCCCGTGCACGTAGGCAACATACCTTATCTGATCTATCAAACCCTTATCAAGAAACATGTTGGCACTCCAATCTTGCAAGATTCTATCAGTGTATAGGTTGTGGTTTAGGAGTTTCTAAGTGCGAAAGTCCCCCACCGATCTGCATGGTTCCCTGCCATCCCGTGCACATAGGCAACATACCTAGTCCAATCCATAAAACCTTTCTGACAAACATGTTGGCACATCAACCTGGAAAGATTTTCATTCTACCAAAGTAGGTTGTGATTTAGGAGGTTCTAAGTGCGAAAGTCCCCACATATCTGCGTGGTTCTGCATGGTTCTGCATGGTTCCCTGCCATCCCGTGCGCATAGGCAACATCTAATCTGATGTATAAGACCCTTATTCAGAAACAGATTTTAGTTCTACCAGTGTAGGCTGTGATTTAGGAGGTTCTAAGTGCGAAAGTCTTCACCATACTGCCTGGTTCCCTGCCATCCCGTGCTCACAGGCAACATACCTAAGCTGATCTATAAAACCCTTATCAAGAAACATGTTGGCACACCAACCAGATTTTGATTCCAGTGTAGGCTGTGATTTAGGAGGTTCTAAGTGCGAAAGTCCCCCACCAATCTGCCTGGTTCCCTGCCATCCCGTGCACATAGGCAACATACCTTATCTGATCTATCAAACCCTTATCAAGAAACATGTTGGCACTCCAATCTGGGAAGATTCTATCACTGTAAGTTGTGATTCAGGAGGTTCTAAGTGCGAAAGTCCCCACCTATCTGCATGGTCCCTACCATCCCGTGCGCATAGGCAACATCTAATCTGATCTATAAAACCCTTATCAAGAAACATGTTGGCACACCAACCAGATTTTGATTCCAGTGTAGGCTGTGATTTAGGAGGTTCTAAGTGCGAAAGTCCCCACCTATCTGCCTTGTTCCCTGCCATCCCGTGCACGTAGGCAACATACCTTATCTGATCTATCAAACCCTTATCAAGAAACATGTTGGCACTCCAATCTGGGAAGATTCTATCACTGTAAGTTGTGATTCAGGAGGTTCTAAGTGCGAAAGCCCCCACCTATCTGCATGGTTCCCTGCCATCCCGTGCACACCGGCAACATATCTAATCTGATCTATAATCCTTACCAAGAAACATGTTGGCGCTCCAATCTGGGAAGATCTTAATTCTACCAGAGTAGGCTGTGATTTAGGAGGTTCTAAGTGCGAAAGTCTCCACCTATCTGCGTGGTTCTGCATGGTTCTGCATGGTTCCCTGCCATCCCGTGCACATAGGCACCATCTAATCTGATGTATAAGACCCTTATTCAGAAACATGTTGGCACACCAACCTGGGAAGATTTTAATTCTACCAGTGTAGGCTGTGATTTAGGAGGTTCTAAGTGCGAAAGTCCCCACCAAACTGCCTGGTTCCCTGCCATCCTGGGCACATAGGCAACATGCCTAATCTGATCTATAAACGTCTTACTAAGAAACATGGTGGCACTTCAATCTGGGAAGATTCTATCAGCGTATAGATAGCCTCCCAATCACCAGTCTATATAACCATTATCCAAGCATTATCAAGAAACATGTTCGTGCTCCGATCTCAAAATGTAGTAGTCAAAGTATGATTTTAGAGGTTCTAAGTGTCAATCTCCCCAACGATCTACATGGTTATAAACGTATGTAGATGTTAACTTATATCATTAAAGATACTCATGATTTTGAGAGGTTCTAAGTGCCAATCTCCCCAACCATCTACGTGGTTATAAACATGGTGGCGGCGCCTGTGGAGCGACCGCGCTCTTTCATGTTTTGCAGAGGTCGTTTTAGAGGTTCAAAGCACAATTCCCTGTAAAACGCAGGACTTTATTCATGAACCTTGCTCGATCGATGTTTAAAAATGGTTCAAAAACATTGGAGGCGCGCCTCAAAATTAACTTCGTGTCGTTTTCGCTGTAGCAAAAACGCGATTTTTGGAAACAATGGATTTCGAAAACATATTCCCGAAACACATTCGAAGCTTTTTTACATCTGCGGTCTGCTCACTTCCAGTATCCGATCTTCTTGTTGATCGATTTCATGAGTTTCCAAGTTCCTGCAGTAAATCCAAACCAAGTCCAATTTTGTCCCTGAAGTTACTTCAACATCTTCACAACGTAGCATCCAGAGCGTCCCTGAAGTTACTTCAACATCTTCACAACGTAGCATCCAGAGCGTCCCTGAAGTTACTTCAACATCTTCACAACGTAGCATCCAGAGCGTCCCTGAAGTTACTTCAACATCTTCACAACGTAGCATCCAGAGCGTCCCTGAAGTTACTTCAACATCTTCACAACGTAGCATCCAGAGCGTCCCTGAAGTTACTTCAACATCTTCACAACGTAGCATCCAGAGCGTCCCTGAAGTTACTTCAACATCTTCACAACGTAGCATCCAGAGCGTCCCTGAAGTTACTTCAACATCTTCACACCGTAGCATCCAGAGCGTCCCTGAAGTTACTTCAACATCTTCACAACGTAGCATCCAGAGCGTCCCTGAAGTTACTTCAACATCTTCACACCGTAGCATCCAGAGCGTCCCTGAAGTTACTTCAACATCTTCACCACGTAGCATCCAGAGCGTCCCTGAAGTTACTTCAACATCTTCACCACGTAGCATCCAGAGCGTCCCTGAAGTTACTTCAACATCTTCACACCGTAGCATGCCGTAGCATCACATCCTTCCGGCAGCCGACATGAACGTTATAAGCCCACCCCATCCCCCCCCCACCCCACCCCACCCCATGCTCTGACGCAGCGATTGAAACAGGACGAACATCCCCAAGAACCAGACATTCACGTCAAATCAACATGAAAACATTAAGACCAACTCAAGATCACATGGTAAAATTTACAACAGTGCGGTCGCCTGAGAGGCGCCGTCACCATAAACATATGTAGATGTTAATTGATAACATTGAAGATCCTCATGTCATATGAAGAGGTTCTAAATGCAAGTTTGTTTGGGTTCTAAGTGCGATTTGCTCGTGTACCTTTGTTTATGTTAAAATTTCCAAAAAAGGTTCTAACTTACTGTCCGGCACTAAACTCTCAACGAATCTAACCCTTCAACCTTCGACATGGACATGGACATCGGTTCCTCCAAACACGGTTTTAATATGTTCTATAAATAGTTCTTAAAGCATTCATCTTCCTCGTAAATGTTCATCTCTTGTTCCAGTTGAAGCACTTGTTCAGGCCATCTGACTCACAAAGCCGCCCAGATCCTTTTCTGTCTCAATGGGAATCCTCTGCTTCGCTGTCAGAATCTGATTCGATCGGCTTCCCAGCTCTTTCATCGGAAGGCCCGGCAAGGTGCTGCTTGAGCTTGGTGCCACGCGGCCACACGAACTTCTTCCTGTACACTTCGTGCCAGCTTTCCCTCTGGAGGATACCACGCTTACAATCGAAATAGATCATTGCTGCCAAGCATATGTGGCCAAGCAAATATGCCCCATACACCCATGCAGCTCCAACATCATACCCATTCCGCCAAAAAATGCTCTCTTTGGTGAGAATCGATGCGGCTTGCTGATCCCAAAACTCTTCGAAAGCGACATAGAGGATCACCAGCGTCTGGAAGAAAAAACTCAGCAGCAAATACTTGTCAAGTTTTGTCAAATAGGGCTTCGCTGGCAGCCATGCAGCAAAAAGAATCTTGCATCCCACGGTCATCAGGAGAAGAATAAGAAGGCAATTCAGTTTTTTGTAGAGAGAGTCGTGTGTGCCACTTCTGTTTGCGAAAGCTACACCACTCCCTTGTGTAAAAAGCCAAACAAGCAAACAAACATTGTGTGTAGAATCTTGGGTTCCTCTCGACGTAGATGTGCAGGTCAAATCTTGCCCGGTTAAATTCTCCTTGCTCTTTGATGACCTGAAGCTGCGGAGACGGCGCATCCACTGTCCACTGAACGGGAAGGTTGCAATTTTCCCTGGCCTCGATGTTTTTAAGATTTCCAGCTTTTGCAAAGAGGGGTGTGAACTTCATCATGTAGTTTGGGATCTCGCCGACAACCTGGCAAGATGCAGCACTATAGGAATCCAAGGAAAAGTTGAGACCTCAAACGAATACCCATGACATGTGTTGTGCAGAATCAAACTATATAGCTAGGCTATATATGTCTGAGATACATCAGCACGTCCCATTAGGACAAACCCAACGAATTCCCAGGTTTTTTCAAGTTTGAACCCTTGTGCTGTACATTTGCCAACAGTACAGGTATGACAGGAGTGTTGGGCGAACATCGCACCTGAATGCGCAACAGCTGTCTGTCAAATGGCATCTCCTTCAAGTGAAGGCGTTCACTGAAAGTTGCCTGAATCTTCCATTCGTGTGTCACCTTGGGTTGGTGGACACCTTGGGTTGGTGGACAATGATGCACAGCAACATACTAAATTTAGTAAATCAAAATAAACATGTTTAATAAAGCAGGTCAGTTCAGCAGCTTGTTGAAGGACTAAGAAGGACTGAGATGATGTGTCTTCGGGACGATGGAAAAGGCTTCGAAAAGGAGCAGAAATCAAACTGAGGTATCACTCCGGTATAACCGCATTATATCAAAAAAGTGCATGCTTGTGCCTGCAACCTACTATCCCAAACTCCTGAAGCTAAGCAGCATGTCCACCAAGTTCATCGAAGAAATTGATGTGCCGACTCTCAAAAATAAATTGATGCTCACGGACGACCAAATTCATGAAGGTCCACTCCTCAATGGCTCAGGTCACTTGTAGACTTGGCATTGAAAAATATGGAGACTAGAGTGCTGTCCAAGGAAAGATCTCTAATACTGCAGTATGCAACCCTCATGCCAGCACAAAATACTTTGGCCATCCCTACCCAATGGCTGCAGAGTGTTCTGAACCAAGGCTCCAAAGCTGGATGATTCTGCCAGTTGTGATCTTCAGGCAAGCTCACGCTTAGCAGGTCCTTTTTCGGCACACAAACATAACCAGCATACTTCACTTCCATATCGTCATCTGCATCAATGACTTTCTCCTTCTGCACTGTCTTGACAAGCCTTTTTCCTTGGTGAAAATAGTAGTCAAATACCCTATATTGCTTAGACATGTTCATCAAATTATGGCAGCTGAACAGCTCTAGGGTCAGTGACTATCAAATCAAGCTGGCTCCAGTCGTACGTTGCGACGCGTTTTGGAGCTCTTCGTTTTCTGCTTGTCAGCGCGCATTTATGTGCATATTCCTCCACACCCGTCACGCGGCAGGGGCGGGGGGGGGGGTTTTGGGTGGGGGGGGGGGTGGTGGGTGACTAATAACGTCTTGTCGCGTTCGTTTCTTGGCCGTCGTTTCTTTATTTTGCAATCTTTAACATGGTCTTGATGCTACGCTGTGGAAATTCTCTGGCAATTTTCTTGCTCTTGGTGCTACCCTGTTGCCGTTCTCTTGCATTTTCAAACACGCTCTTGATGCTACGCTGTGGAAATTCTCTTGCAATTTCGAACACGCTCTTGATGCTATGCTGTGGAAATTCTCTTGCAATTTTGAACACGCTCTTGATGCTACACTGTGGGAGTTCTCTTGCAATTTTTCACAGGCTCTTAATGCTACGCTATTGAAGTTTTCTCTTGCAATCGAACACGCTCTTGGTGCTATGCTGTGGAAGTTCTCCTGCAATTTCAAAAACGCTGTTGCGCTTCGCTGTGGAGAAAGAAACAGGTTGTCCCTCAGTCAAATCACCTGTCAAAACAAGATGCAGGCCACGAACCCGAATGCTCACACGTATGTTAATGGTACAGATGTCGAAACACATGGATTTGCAGTCACGCAGAACGCTTTTCTGAAACAGTTTATTTGGACAGTCTTGTACATTATTCTACTGTTACCAAATCAGTGCACCGTAGACTGTGGAATCTGGAAGAAGGTGGCGTGCTAAGTGTGGAGTGTGGAGTGCAACGTGTCAACTGCAACGCCCGGAGTGCAAAGTGTGGAGTGTGGAGTGTGAAGTGTAGAGTGTATAAAGTGTCAAGTGTAAAGTGTGGAGTGTAAAGTGTGGAGAGTAGAGTGTAAAGTGTGGAGTGTGGAGTGTGGAGCGTGGAGTGTAGAGAGTAGAGTGTAAAGTGTAAAGTCTGGAGTGTAAAGTGTGGAGTGTAAAGTGTAGAGTGTGGAGTGTAAAGTGTAGTGTGTAAAGTGTAGTGTAAACAATGGAGTGTAGAGTGTGGAGTGTAGAGTGTGGAGTGTGGAGTGTACAGTGTGAAGTGTGGAGTGAAAAGTGTGGAGTGAGGAGTGTGGAGTCTGGAGTGTAAAGCGTGGAGTGTAAAGCGTGGAAGTGTGGAGTGTAAAGTGTGGAGTGTGGAGTGTAAAGTGTCGAGTGTGGAGTGTGGAGTGTACAGTGTAGAGTGTGGAGTATGAAGTGTGGAGTGTCGTGTGTACTGTGTAGAGTGTGGAGTGTAGTGTGTGGAGTGTGGAGTGTAGAGTGTTGAGTTAAAGTGTGGAGTGTGAAGTGTGGAGTGTAAAGTATAGAGTGTGGAGTGTGGAGTGTAAAGTGTAGAGTGTAAAGTGTAGAGTGTAAGAGTGTAGAGTGTGGAGTGTGGAGTGCAATGTGTAGAGTGTGAAGTGTGGAGTGTAAAGTGTGGAATGTAAAGTGTAAAGTGTGGAGTGAGGAGTGTAAAGTGTAGAGTGTGGAGTATCGAGTGTAAAGTGTGGAGTGTGGAGTGTAGAGTGTGGAGTTTAAAGTCTGAAGTGTGGAGTGTAGAGTGTGGAGTGTGAAGGGTAGAGTGTGGAGTGTAAAGTGTGGAGCGTGGGGTGTAGAGTGTGGAGTGTAGAGTGTGGAGTGTAATGTGTAGAGTGTAAGAGTGTAGAGTGTGGAGTGTGGAGTGCAATGTGTAGAGTGTGGAGTGTAGAGCAGGCAATGCGACACGTCTGAAGTGCTGCGCCTGCCATGCAAAATGACGACAGAGATCTCCAAAATGCTTCTCCTGCCACGAAAACTGCAACTCATCTTGTGAAAACGACGCAAAAGTATTGCGCCTGCCACATAAAACGACCTTCAACTTCGACACCTTATCAAACAGGTTGGAATCACAAAGTGCCGCGCCTGCCACGCAAAACGACATGACAACCTGCTTGGAAACTTTCACAATGCTGCGACTGCCACGAAAAATGCAACTCATCTTGTGGAAAACGACAAAAAAGTATTGCGCATGCCACACAAAACGACTTTCGGCACGTTATCAAACAGGTTGTAATGTCACAAAGTGCCGCGCCTGGCCACGCAAAACAACATTACCACCTGCTTTGGCACCTTCGAAAAGGAAAGGTTTTGCAGCTTCCTCTATAGACACGGCGAGGCCGCAGGAAAACCAGAGACTCGAGACGAGACACGTGGGAGCATCAAAACGAGCATTTTGTGCGAGACGTCCTCCATTTTTCACACTTTGTAGCTTCAAAATCGACGTTTTCCTACGAATTTTCTTAGGAACCTCTAAATTTGCTACCTTAAAATCGATGTTTTGTGTGAGGCTTCCCTCAATTTTCACCACATCTCACAAAATGCCACACCTGCCACGGAATTTGCACCTTGTCGCCACTTGACGCAGCCCTGACAATGCGATTCGTAAAAACACGCAACACGACACGACTGAAGTCAAGTGCTGCCACTGCCACGCAAAATGACGCTGGACACGTCCAAAGTGCTGCGCCTGCCACGAAAACTGCAACTCATCTTGCGAAAACGTCGCAAACGTATTGCGCCTGCCACACGAAACGACTTTCGACACGTTACAAAACACGTCTGAATGTCACGAAGTGCCACAACTGCAGCGCGAAACCAAGCAACGCGAAGTTTGAAACTTCAAAAATGATCTCTTCTGCAGTATGGCCCTCACGCGGACGGTTGCGGACGGTTTTGCGAACGGTTGCGGACGGTTGGGCAACGTCGAGCGAACACACCCTCAACCCCCAGACCCCCAGAGTGAAACGGGAACCCTTGCTACGCATTCGGGAAAAAACGGATTCAAAAACAAATATTTGTTGGATGCCAAAATTGCCATTTCGCTGTATCCTCATTCTGCGGCGCCAATCAAACATTGATCAATCGTTCCAAACAACTTGAAAACCATGACAATGCAATATGCAAAACAAAAAAAAGCACCGCAAAAACCATAGAAAAAACAACATGACGTCACTTGGCTGCAATTAAAGGGCGTCGTGATGCACTACTGGGGCCGTTGTTGTATGCATTTTAAAAATGCAATTCACCTGGACAAACAAAACTCTTTGAGCAAAGAGGAGGTTCCAAGGACGACTTTCTGCGCTTCAAAATGTCCAGGCTCGTAGCCCAGGATGTGCCCCTCCACTGTCGCGACTGAAGTCTTTTTGCCGTCAAACTTTCGATATTTGATGATTTGCCAAGTTGTTATCAATGTGGGATCGACGTATTCGAATTGCAGCTTGAAAGTCGCGGTGAATGTCTCCTTGAGCTGGTCTATCTCAATGATATCCATAACCTCAGTCGACATGCATGGTCCACTGCAAGTACAGCAACTTTATGGCATCAATGGAAAATCTCCTAGGTGGAAATCCCGCCAAATGTGGCAGATAAGAGAGAAAGAGAGAGAGAGAGAGAGAGAGAGAGAGCGAGGGAGAGAGAGAGAGAGAGAGTGTTTGATAATGGTAAGTCCCACAAATTCTGCACATCGTTTTTGACCATGTCTATACAGTCAACTTATTTGCTTTTCAATGCAGAGAATTGCGCTAAGCCCTGAACATTTGCTCTCACTCTGACTTCCTTGGCTTCTGGTTCCTTTGGTCTCTTCTGGTAGAACCTCCGGAGTCGTGTCCATTGTAGTTGTGCAACCCTGTACTGAACTCCGGCGATCGGAGCGTGCTCAACCAAAGATCCTTTGACTCCGGTTCAGGGGCCGTCTTGCCACTTGCTTCCGAACACAATAGCGGAGAATGCCTCGTAAACATGGCTCCCGCAAATATGATATGTGGAAACCAATGTTACGACTTGTGCCTTATGCTTTGAAATGTCAGCTTCTGTTTCATGGGCACTCTTTGATGCCGTCAATTCGAAGCACCATTTCTTGAGGGGTAAGACTCCGGGACCCAAACGCTCTTGGAAATTTCCAATTTTAAGAACCGCCCATACCTGCAGATCTCCTGACATGAAGACACCGCACTGTTGCTAGACTTGAGGTTGCAGGTGCCGAATCACAGTGCAAACACCTTAAAAATTAAAGGGCCGGAAAAGCCCACAAGTCAGCTTCTTCCAATAATGAGCAACACATGTTGTAGCGGGGACGGGGAAGGAAGGAAAGACAAAGGAGAAGGTGGAGGAAAGATGGTGTGTGACAAAGTTGTGTGAAAGATGGTGTGTGAGGGGCGGTGGTTGACAAAGTTGTGTGTGAAAGTTGTGTGTGAAAGATGGTGTGTGACAAAGTTGTGTTGTGTGTGACAGGCGGGTGGCGGGAGGAAGAGGAGCAAACACACCAAAATGATCCAACACAACTAAACCAGGATCAAACAATAGAAACAAGAGCTGACCCAAGCCACAAGCAAAGGTCCAAAGCGATGCATTTGTGATACATTGTGCATCTCCTCAGCTGCGCTATTTATAATGGACATTAATGGACATACTATGCTAAGGATATCTAAGGATTATTTACATTATTATATACCTTCTTATCATTGCGCATGTCTGCCCCCAAATTAGTTTTCTCATTGGGGATGGTGCAAATAACAGCGTCGGTCCCACGCTCCAGGCCCTTGATTGGCATTCAGCCAGCCCCCCCTCATTCCGGCAACCACTTCAGTACCAAATGGTTCATAGGGAAGGTCACGTGACTGGGAGCGTACCCTATTTCCATCGCCATACGGCCATACCCTAGTATCCGAGAATATCTCCCATTATATCCCATACTGGTTGGTGGTTTCAACCCCTCTGAAAATATTATATAGTCAGTTGGGGTTATTGTTCCCAATATATGAGAAAAAAAATCCTGTTCCAAACCACCAATCAGGCATATATCCGTTTCACTTTGCTGCTAAAATCAACCACTTATAGCACTGTACAGGGCCAATGTTTGAACCTCATCTGGTCGTCGCTTTCAACGGGTCACAATATTCGTCGGCTGGGGTCACCATTCATCGCATTTCTATCTGGCTGGTGGTTTCAAACCCTCTGAAAAAATGTGAAAGTCAATGGGAAGGATTATCCAGTGGATTATCCCATATATTATGGAAAATAAAACATGTTTGAAACCACCAACCAGCTATTGTTGGGTTGAACAAACAACTGTATATGTGAACCACCAGCCAGCAACCAGTATCATCATTGGTTGGTCGGTTATCTGCCCATCAATATCCCCTCTCTAGATGTCAACATCTGCATGCGTGTGGCTCAATGTAAGCTCCGAATTTATAAACCTTGACTTAATGTTCACCTACGATGATTAAACTCACCCTAAATCAAGCTAACCAAACTCCGAAACTAAATAATCAATGACCCCTAAAGAAAGCTATTTTTTTGGCCCTAAATACTAAATCCATGAAATGAATACTAAATCAGTACTAAAACAATCTTATTTTTGTTTTGAAATTGCATTTTACATTTCATTTTAAGCTGTGGTTATTGAAAACCAATACATACAAACAAGTTTGATGGTGGCTAGAAATCTATTTAGGTGCAAAGAGGGGGGGCCCTGTTGATTAATCATAGGTCAACATGAACTGGGAAATAGTGAGAAACATTGATAACGTATGATAACGTATGATAACGTATGATAAAGATTTTTCAAAGTGGTAACTTTCTCCTGAGGGATAATATTGATCCTGGCTTCACATTAAGACCCATGGTTAAACCATGGTTGAGCCGGATCATTGATAAGCTTATTACGATTCCATTTGGCAACCCTTCTGATCAACGAAAGGGACTGAAGAAACTATTTCTGGCTTCACCTTAAAACCATCATTTTTAACAAGGGACTATTTCAGGGATTTTGTTGAGCGGCTCCACCCGAAAAAAAAAAATAAAACCAGGGTTGAAGCCGTTGCCTCTGAAGTTCCCCTTTCTGATTTCATGGCAACCGAGGCCTCGCACCGCGCAGGGGCCATTCCCCCGCAGCGACGCTTGGATCTGCCGCGTCAGCTGCGGCGGCAGCGGCAGCGCCGCCAGCGCTGCCAGCGCCGCCACGGCCTCCGCCACGCGCGGCGCCGCGCAGGCGCCGTCCAAGGGGACACCCTGCGTGGGTTCAGGGCTGGGAGGTGCATCAATTGGGGAGGTAGAAACAAAAATGTAGTAAAAGGGGACGGGGGTCACATTCGCCCCTAAAAGAGGGTCACATTCGCCCCTAAACCAAAAGGGGTCACATTCGCCCCTAAACAACAATAATTTAAATATGTTACTCAACCCTTTAGGGTTTAACCTGGGGACAAGGGGACTTTTAGGGGGACTGGGGTTTAGGGGGGGACATGGGGGCATATGTTGACTTGTCTCTCTATTCCATATGTTACTCAACCCTTTAGGGTTTAACCTGGGGACAAGGGGACATTTAGGGGGACTGGGGTTTAGGGGGGGACATGGGGGCATATGTTGACTTGTCTCTCTATTCCATATGTTACTCAACCCCCTTTAGGGTTTAACCTGGGGACAAGGGGACATTTAGGGGGACTGGGGTTTAGGGGGGGACATGGGGGCATATGTTGACTTGTCTCTCTATTCCATATGTTACTCAACCCTTTAGGGTTTAACCTGGGGACAAGGGGACATTTAGGGGGACTCGGGTTTAGGGGGGGACATGGGGGCATATGTTGACTTGTCTCTCTATTCCATATGTTACTCAACCCTTTAGGGTTTAACCTGGGGACAAGGGGACATTTAGGGGGACTCGGGTTTAGGGGGGGACATGGGGGCATATGTTGACTTGTCTCTCTATTCCATATGTTACTCAACCCTTTAGGGTTTAACCTGGGGACAAGGGGACATTTAGGGGGACTGGGGTTTAGGGGGGGACAGGGGGCATATGTTGACTTGTCTCTCTATTCCATATGTTACTCAACCCTTTAGGGTTTAACCTGGGGACAAGGGGACATTTAGGGGGACTGGGGTTTAGGGGGGGACATGGGGGCATATGTTGACTTGTCTCTCTATTCCATATGTTACTCAACCCTTTAGGGTTTAACCTGGGGACAAGGGGGCATTTAGGGGGACTGGGGTTTAGGGGGGGACATGGGGGCATATGTTGACTTGTCTCTCTATTCCATATGTTACTCAACCCTTTAGGGTTTAACCTGGGGACAAGGGGACATTTAGGGGGACTGGGGTTTAGGGGGGGACATGGGGGCATATGTTGACTTGTCTCTCTATTCCATATGTTACTCAACCCTTTAGGGTTTAACCTGGGGACAAGGAGTCATTTAGGGGGACTGGGGTTTAGGGGGGGACATGGGGGCATATGTTGACTTGTCTCTCAATTGACATATGTTACTCAACCCTTTAGGGGTTTACCTGGGGGCAAGGGGGCATTTAGGGGGACTGGGGAACCTTTAGGGGGGGACTTGGGGGCATATGTCAACTGAAATGTCTCTTGGAAGGTAACATCCAAAGCGTCTTCGAAGTTGCTCGAGATGGATGTTACAACGTAGCAATGGTGCACCGTAGCATGCATAGTGTCCTGGAAGTTGATTGAAATGGCTGTTGGAACGTAGCATCCGAGGCTTCTTCCAAGTTGCTCGAACTGGATGTTACAACGTAGCATCCATAGTGTGCTGGAAGTTGATTCAAATGGCTGTTGGAACGTAGCATCCAAAGTGTCTTCCAAGTTGCTCGAACTGGGTCTTACAACGTAGCATCCATAGTGTCCTAGAGGTTGATTGAAATGTCTCTTGGAAGGTAACATCCAAAGCGTCTTGGAAGTTGCTCGAAATGGATGTTACAACGTAGCAATGGAACACCATAGCATGCATAGTGTCCTGGAAGTTGATTGAAATGGCTGTTGGAACGTAGAAAAACACGTGAATATCACTCTCTAGGGTGGAAAAAATCCTTTTGAGGCTCTGAAACTATTAACTATTGCGCCTGCCACGCAAAAGCAGGGGTCACATTCGCCCCTAAACGAGGGTCACATTCGCCCCTAAACCTACTTCATCCCCCTTCATTTAGGGGCAAATGCGACCCAAGATGGTTTAGGGGCAAATGCGACCCCCGTGCCTAGTAAAAGTGATGGGAGATGATGTGTTTCTAGATTTGATTTGATTTTTTCTGGATCTTCTGGATTTTATGGCTAAACAAATGTCTTTTGGTGGGTACTATGAACTTTCCAGCAAAGTGAAAAAGGCATTGCCTAATTTTGGACCAACCGGACCCAAAGCGATCCTCAGTTTCAAGGTTTGCACAATCCAAAAGACAACAAATCTACCACATGATCCCCGTGCGCAGCACAGGCAAACGGACATCTGCATGAAAAACATTGCATTTTATTTCAACATATTTCAACCACCTCGGTAGGTGCAAGAAATTACCCTCAAATTAATATGTTTGTTTCCACCAAGTCATGGTTGTTGATGGCTCAAGTAATGCCAACATTTATCAACATTTCCACTTGTTTGATTCTTATTCCTTATGAGGGACGCCTCCTTTGGTTCTGAATCTCTGCGTTCTAGGATCCCGTTTTGCGGGGATGTTTTTATGATGGGTCCATTCGCGGTGCACAATTCCAAATTTCTTTGTGTTACCCTCTGGCACTACAATGAACCCATATTTCATCTAGGTGAATCAACTGCAAATGGGTTGTTTCCCATGTGAAATTACCGGATGAATTTCATGACATCCCCATCAAACCTGCCAAGGTGCCCAAAGACTTCCACTCCCCAACGCATGTGCCGGTGATGTCAACGACCACACGAACCAACTTGCCGTAGCAAACATCGTCGCCGTCATGACGGCGGCATGACATGACCTATAAAAGAAGTAGGAAGTTGCGAACATTTGTATACTCTGCAAATATTTGCCAAAAACCAGTGAACGACAATCAAATTTGCAATAATTAAAAGACTTACCCTGAGCCACATTGACATGAATATCACACGAGTCACACCAGCAAAAACGTTTATTTGGAGAAATGAGAAAATGAGTGAATAGATAACAATATTAAATAAGTATATCCCATAGGATCCATGTATGGTATATATGCTAAAATGACTGGGGTATATTGATGGGATCCATGTTACCATATATAGCAACATGGATCCTATGGGTATATGTACGGAGTACGGTGTAGGTGTGCGTTTTCCTTCCTTACGTTACGGACCTGCCTCGTGTCCATTTTTTTGCAGTGTGTTGCTGACCAGTGCAGGTGACCAACAATTTTCTTGACCTTTTAGCCAGAAACAAAGCCTCAGCATAGGAGAGCATTGGTTCATCTTATATGTATATAAATATATATGTAATATATATATATATGATATATATATACTGTATTTGTATATGAGTTGCTATATATATATACATACATACATATATATATACATACTACATATACATCCTACATATATATATATATATACGCACAATATACACAACAAATTTGAGTTCCATCATGCAGGATAAAAGCCTAGCCCCCTTGCCCTCCGGTATATATATATATATATATATGTATATGAAATATCGCAATGGAAAACATCCCCAGTTCTAGTAGTCAATATACATAACTGTTCCATTCTAACATCCCATGTTTTGAGGACACCGGAGAGCCATTAATGATATCTTACCACCCAGGTCGATCCACTGCTGCGCGCCCTGTTTCGAACCAGCAAGCCACCTTTCGCTCGCTGTTTTGTGTCTCGCCACGGCTCGCCGATGACTTGATCCCTGGACGGGAAATTGGGGATATCTAATATCTATACTTTCTCTATAGATCCATCAAAATTGTCATATGTACAGTACATATTAATAATAAGAATAGTTATTTGCATATAAATATTTATTTATATAGATTAAATAAATAAATCAATAAATCAATATATATATATATACATACGCACGTATATTACATTTATATATACTGTATCTCAGTGTTGGCCATGAAATATATCACAACTTCGATCCACGAACTTCACCATCCGTGGCTGTCTCGGCGGTGAAACGCGCGGTTTCGGCCTCCCGGCCTGCCAGAAACAACGACGACGATGGCACAAATAATGACATACAATGGTGATGACACTGGCTAAGAAATGTGATGGGATAACATGGGATAACCATCCTCAAGTCATCACACATAATGAATCATAATGATCAATGGGATGGCACCAGTTGTAAAGCCATAGAAATGGTGATGACTTGAGGATGGTTGACAATCACTGGCTGGAACCACAAGACTTAGAGAATAAACTTACATGACCTGAAATCTTAAGATAATCTTCTCCAATCCGAGAATGCTTTGCTTCCTATGGAGAATCTTAATGACATTTCGAGGACACAAATATTCTTGGTGCCGGCTTCAATGAGTTGCGCGGCTGCCCCTCCAGCCTACTGCAAGATGCAACAGCAAGATTTGTTCTTTTTGGCCTGGCTGAAAGAGGAAAGAACCATCATGTTTGCGTGCATGTAATATAAATATATACATATTACATCATGTGTGTGCCTATATATATATATATGTAAATTAGGTATTATATATATATATATCTCTCTCTCTCGCTCTTTCTTGAAAGGTGTATATGTAAACTTATCTGCTGCTTGTTCAACATCTGTTTGGCATCTGCAGTTCAAACAATCCTGGCAATGAAATGGATATCTCCATTGACATAATTCGGGAAGTTGTAAGCATTACAGCATTACAGATTGTCAATCTAGCTGTTGAGGATTATGAATCTTCTCACCATACATGCACATACTTTAAAACATATATATATACATATGTATATATACCTTTTTTCTTCATATACTATTTACATATATACAATCTATGATACCTGTTCGTATAATTCTACCATCTTCTATCCGATCGGGTATCCCAGCTCCCTGGTGCCTCTGCTTCCAACTTTTCGACCTTGGCCTTTTCCTGATGAAGGGCCGCCGGGGCCGAGCAATTTTGAATCTGGTTGGTGGCTCGCGAGCCAGATCCCTGAAAAAGCTTGCTCATCATTGGGGATCATCATCCAAATTCCATCAAATTCCATGGTTCAATTTACATGTTTTTAATTTACCAAAGGAATATGTGAAACCACCAGCCAGTAGTCGTATATGTTTAATAATCTTTGCTTTATCTTCAAAATTCAAAATGGACCCATTTTGAGTCTTCCTTGTTGTTCTTTGCTTCCCTGTTTCAAACTCGCAGAAACGAACAACCCTTAGACGAATCATCTGAGTGGCTTCGGCGTTCTTCTCCTGCCAGACAGGGGAGGAGAGTGGATGAAGTAACATGGAAGTCATGAAAATGCTGATATGTCACTATTTGTTCCAGGACTTTTCAGAGGATTTGCAGTGAAACTTAGGATTTCCCCATGGGATTTTCAGATGTAAAAGCTCCGGAACCTGGGTGTGTTGGGGTGCTTCAGCCTCACCCTGTTCTCTTTTCCAATGTACTAAAATTACTAAAATAAAATAATTGCCCGCTAAAGTTTCGAGACGGAGCTCACATAAGAAACTATTCAAGAACTGCTTGTCCTTTTAGAAAATGCGTTCCGTGCTTTTCCTCATTCATCTATTGGAGCCTTGTGGCATTTCAATTCGATGCGTCCACATGCTTCGCGATAGGTGGTTTCAACCATCAAAAAATAGTGAATCTGAATCATCATCCCTGGATGGAAAAGAACCAGCCAGTTTGAGTATGTCTTAATGATACTCCGAGATTTATGGATTCTATCACATGGCTACCTGGTGAACCTCAACACAGCTATTTTGGATGATCATTCCCCCCATATTTGTGGCACCATAGGTCTTGACCAACCCCATATGAGTAATCTGGGAAAGTAAGCTTCGCGAAAAGGACAGGGTCCCATCGCTTACCACATGTTTATACAAAAAGGATGTATACGGCCAATTTTTGGGGTATCATTTGAGGGAAAATTATGTATGTGCACAAGTATGACGTAAGTTTCGAAGGGGGTATCACCATTTGGGAAGGTCCCATCGCTTACCTCATGCTTGGACAATTTCTGAACGCCAATGTATGTCCCTTACATGTTTTCTATTACTGGAATCTGTGCGGGTGGCTCACACAATATGTTTGGACCGATTTTCCTGAGTTTTTCCGGCAAATATCCCCAATACAGTAACTGGTTGGTGGTTTCAACCCCTCTGACTGAAAAATATTAATCAGTATGGGAAAAATGTTCCAAACCACCAACCAGGTAACATAGACATGGGACATCACCCTTTTAAATAGCTACATCATCGCACTAAATGGACCATTGTCCATAGCTATGCCATGTAGGTATTGCAATATACCCTCCGGTCGTTTCACAACGCACCAGTTTTAGGAGGTAAATCATTGAACCAAAATGAAACGGGCCAGATTCCATAGCTTGCAATACAGCTTTTGGTAAATTTAACATAAAGACATGCTATTATGACAATTCACCCAAGTGAACTAAATAGGCCAACATCTTTCAAGCGAAATCGCTAGGCACGGCATCGGCACCTCGAGGTCTTTGACGTTCTGTTCCAAGGCTGTCACCTCCAAGGCCAGTCGTTCAGGGAGGAAGTCACCAGAAGCAAGGCCAAATGTTCCAAAAGAAATAGATATTGGATATGTTTTGCACTATGTATTAAATACACTGAATTGGGTATATCACATTGAAACATAAATATATAGTAATAATTTGGAAATAATGACAATATATACGTTGTATATATAAATAAAAATTAAAAATAATGATGATGATGATGATATGCATGTACACATGCAATTGGATATAAAACCAACTGGAAGAACCGACTTTTTTGTGTATCCAACGAAAATGGGAGGTACCTCAGAATTCAGTAGCTTCAATGCTTATTATCCAAACGCTCGAATCATGTGTGCTTAACCTATAGCTAAGAATCACAACGTTCGTTTCAGCTTGTCGAAATCACAACAAGGCTGGTTTATATGGGTTTACCAGCACCCAGAGAGCTCAAACAAAAACGTTGAACATCGTCTTTATTTTTTGGTTGGAAACTAGTCTTCCAACACCCAATGATGGCCAGCTCATGGCAGGCCTTGGCTTTGGCGTCCTGGTCAAGTGGTGGTGAAGCATCGTCAAACGGATGGAATTCTTGTGTATGCATCCATGTACATACATGTATATGCATATATAGAAATATAGATGCACACATGCATGCGCACGTGTTTTAATTCATGTATGTGTATATGTACCGGTATATAGAACATAATGTCATATAATATAATATAAAATAATATAATGTAATAAAATATAGTAATATATATACATATGTAATTATAGTATTATTTTTATGTAGATATATGCTTGTCTCAGTTTCCTTGCTTTTCCAAACCCCTTGGCATGCAAATATCTGCCAGCTGGCCTCGGAGTCCTTGAGACTCTTCTCAAGAGCCGCCACCTGGTAGTTTAAACCCATGGTTTCCTGTAGATTTTCTCTTAAGCCAAGTGGTTGAAACCACAGTTGGTTGGTTTTCAAGCATGGTTTCAAACATAATTTCCCTTAAGCCAAATGAATGTTGGTGGGTTTCAGCAAAAACCCAAGAAAAGATCCTATGGAATTATGCCATCTATGAAGTTCTTAAAAGGCTTCCCCGCCGTCCATGGCAGCAAGGAATCACATGCCCCTGCCTTTGCCTGTGCTTCCTCGGGGCAGGGCTGCAGCGAATGGGTTTTTTTCACATAATTTTCAATCGCATAGCCAATCATGGCAGTCATGGTAGGCAAAAGAACCGCTTGGGCCTTAGCATTGGTCACAAACTTAGCTATTATCAGGGATATTATTGGATACCCTGCTACACACACACATATATATATAACATATATATATATATAATATATAATATAAAAACATATAATATATATATTAATATATATATATATAATTAATATATATATATATATGTATACGCTATAGGCTATATATATATATGACAAAAACACATAGACAAATATCTATATATATTCTATATATATATTCTATATATATATATATTCTATATATATATATTCTATATATATATATATATATCATATATATTCTATATATATATTCTATATTATATATATAGAATAATATATATATATATTCTATATATATTCTATATATATTCTATATATGTAGTTTCTAAATATTGAACTGTGATATATGTATATATGCATACAGCCCATACATATACATATACATAGATCTACAACATATACATATACATAAAACATGTATATATATATATATAACATATCTATATAACATAAATATACATATATGTAAAACATATATGTCTAACACATAAATAACATATAAATAGCATGTAAATAAGATATAAATAACACATAAATATTGTATAAATACAATATTATGTATATATATATATATATATACATTATATTAACTAAATGTTTTAAACACACATATATATACTTATATATATTATATGTATATTACAACCAGTCGCAAACACACACACATATATATATATACACACATGCATACATACCTTGGATTGGTAGTACATATCCATAGTTAGTGGGAAAAACGGTCTATTCGACTCTCTTTTACCAGTCCGTTCATCCAGTTGGATTCGTTGTACAACAGTGCCGTTCATTATCAGTTTAGTCGTGGTTTGATCCCATTTTGATCGGCAATTCCAAAAAAAAGATTGGTGAATCACTCAACGATTTAACATGAGATGGCCAGCAAAGCAAATCCCAATCCGCTCCTCCACACTCTTTCGATCTGATGCCTAGGCCGCTGATTATTTTGAATGCAAACTTAAGTGCGAATCCTGCGTTTTCACTGGGTGGACAGAACAATGACAGCACAATAATATTACAATATTAGATATAATTTACAACTTTATTTTTTTGGCATACAAATGCTACAAATCAATACTTCTATAATATTATAATTACTCCTATGACACGTTTATGAATAGCCCTAGGTGCAAGGGCCAAAGGAGGGCAAACTCTGGAGGTATTTTGAGCATAGCATAGAGAAAAATGATCCATAATATGATATATACTCCATAAATTGGTTGAATGCGAAACACCTGGAAGCAGCATGGCTTTCTCTGGAGTGCTATCTGTCATCCTCTATATCGACGAAACCGGACTCCGTGTACTCCTATCGTTTTCCAGTTTTCCATCGGTAGTGGAAAACACAATTTCTCTGGCAAGTTCAGGTCGCACAGCAGGACATGATAAAACAAAGAAAAAACATCGATTACTGCACCCCGACACCAGGATGCCCCTTCGTGACTCCAATAGCCTGGCTTTATCATTTCCCCCAATTTATAAAAAATAGACACATCAATATATAAGATAGAACCATCGACATAAATATAAATATAAATATATATATATTATACATAAATAAATATAAATATAGATAAACATATATACATATATATACAAATATGCATACATAAACGCATATACATATATGAATATATATATATATATATAAATACATTATAAATATATGTATTATCTATATATATGTATATATATATATGAATAGTGTATATAATATATATAGTATATCAATTTATCACTATTTTCTAGAATCGGATTCTACTTTCCTACCTTGTTGATCCTTGTTGATCCCTGCTATGAAACGGATCAGCGATTCACCCGCCTTCATGGCCTTGTCGGCCTGCCGTGGGAAATTGCTGATGACTTGGGATGGATTTTGATGAATATGGCAGATTATCAGATATTAACATGATGACTGATTTTATATTGATGATATGATAATGGTTTACTATATTACTTGGGAAATTTAGTTTACCAGATTATTTGATCAAATATTAACAATATATCGTTGGTGATGACTGATTTTTCGATGTTTGGCTAGGGGGCTAGTAGTGTATTTGATCTTGCGAAAACAGGGTTCAATGACTGCCAGCCAACTTTGATACTTGCTCACTTGATCTGAAGGTGAAATTTAAGAGGAACGTCACAATCCTGGTGTTCACGGTCACTGAGTCAGCCAAAGGCAAGTCATCCAAAGGTAAGCTCATGATTCGGGATACTTTTTTGAGGACTTTCTGCCATTACTACCATCCTAGCTTTGGCACCGAAGCAAACTGGTGTAAACTCGCTGAGTTTGTGGAAATATACGAGCTCACTTCCCGTCTGGGCATCACCGAAAAAAGTCCGGTAAAGCTGAAGGTGCAAAACAAACATGTCACTGATCCCAAGTTTCCTTATTTCATGTCTTAACATTGAAACCTGCCCTCCCTGAAGCTGCCCCTTTCCTCCAACTTCTTCTCTTCATCCTGTGGCAGCTCAGGTGTGGAAGAATGACTAAAGTGACCAAAGTAGTCGACAAAATTACGGCAGCCTGCCTGGCAGGCATATCCTAAACCAAAGGTGGGCTGCATATTCACATGTTGGTTAAACCGGTGATAGAACTAGAGTGCAGGGCAACAAGGCCATTTTTGCGTTTACATCAAATCCATCCCTGACAAAATGTGACACGAAAGGCTTTTTGACTTCGTCAAAAGCTCAACATACCTCAGGTTTCCCATCATTTCCCATCAAACAAATCCGCTCCCAAAGGACTCGATCCGGTTCGCAATTGACTGAATAACGATTACGCATTCCCCTAGCGGGGGAAACATGATTTCTAATGGGCATCCCCAAAATCTTCTGGCCTTGGCCCTCTGCTTCTTCACAGCTCGATTGACCTTGGTTCAAGTTGCGTGTTTGGCAAACCACTGTGGAGGGTCCAATGGATTTTCCACCTCTTGAACTAGTGAGAGTCGCATGTGTGCCTGCTTGCGCATATATGAAAGGAACTACAATATCTACAATCCAAAAAGTGAGAAATGACTTTGGGGCTGAGTGGAACGCGCGACGAAAAGACCATGCAGCGGCCGTTTTGCTCGGTTTACGCGAATCATCAACTTTCTGCCAGGATTCTCACCACGTCAAAAAAGCCCCACAAGTTACAGTAGAACATCTTTCGAACCATAAATCGATATGAGTATGTCGGAAAGCCCCGGGGTCATGGCCATCCAGTAATGGCCATGTTGAGGAACAAAAAAGCTGTGGGGCGATCTGCATAGATCTGCTGTTCAGCTTCCGGCACCATCAACTGATAGGACAAAAATGCGCAATGATGTAAATGCCACGCATGTGATACAAATACAATGTGATGCATATATAAATATATATGTGTGTGTATGCATGTATGTTAATATATATACATATATATATATAGCATGTGATATTCTACGATTGCATGTCATCATTTGCACATGCAAACATAATCAATCTAGGCCTAGAATGTCTTGATGGCAAATTAGATGCATCGATCTCATGAAGGATATGTCAACTATCAGGATATTCAATCATATTCATGATCTTATATAATCTTTCAAATATTTCCATTCAACATGTTCTCAATGTCCACCTGCGCAAGACTTTACCATACTTTACCCCTTGACAGCCGCCCAGTGACTAAACTGCTGATACATGGACGGCCGGTTTCTGATGCCTCCTGGCTGGCCGGTGACCACCAAACTGAGCCATGCCTAGTGTTTTCCATTGCTCAGTGGTTACCCTCTGGCAATCTAAGCCATGGTTAATACCCGCAATAGGAACATCGGAGATTTGATGCTTTTCCACTGCCAGGTACCATCGGCATCTTGCCAGTCAATTGGCTCTGGGAACTCAACAGCCCAGGGACAGGTTCGCCCACCCAAGTCCACTTCATCTGGGCCCGACAAAAAGAAACATGTATGCAAACGTGGCAGTGAAAATCCCCTATAAATGCACGTTTTAATGTGAAAACCACCTATGAATGAGGATTTTCCCAGCTAGCCATGTTTGATTGCCGGAGGGTATGGTGACAATGGTGACCTGCTATTCTGCGGTGAGGCCGGCAACTGCCCCGGACTTCCCATCCTCATTGCCATCTCCCAGAATTGGTCAAACATAAAAACAACATAACCCCCTCTATTTAGCCGTGAAATCCCCACATTTGTGCCAATAATATCAATTAATCTCAATAATCAACCCTCTTTTTAAAATTTTAAGATTCCCCTATGTTCCCTTTCCCCTGTGTTTTCCCATCCAACCATCCAACCATCGAACCATCCAACCATCCATCCGTCCATGCACCTGCGCCTCATCCGGAACGTCCTCCTCTTTCTCCTCTTGACTCAGCAGCAAATACATCTGCCAGGCGTGGAAAATCACTAGGAAGACCGAGCGCTCCTGTGGAAACTCGGTGCCAAATTCGCTGAAGCACTGCTTAGGTTTGTTGGGTTGTAAGCATCTATGACTATGACTCTTTGTGTCAGTTAAGACTTTTTCGGGTTTTCAACCAACCATTGCGCCATTACACTATATAAGAAAGGTTTATTCACCGTCAATAGTGGGCTTCGAATCCACGTCTAAACGGGATGGGGCAATAACTAACATTTAACAACCAACGGTTACGAAAATCACTTTCCATTCGTGGGATGATCCTCCTTCAAGCAGAGGTGATAGTTCTGGTGAAGGCCAACCAAAAGGAGCAAGCAAAGCTTGTTGACCAACAGAAAAATAAATATAACACCTTGGTATACACGAAAATAGCCTCTGGTAAACGTTTACATAACTATGGAACATAACCATTTTGAATGGGGAAATCAAGTATTAATGGCCATTTTCAATAGTTGTTAGTTTACCAGAGGGTAATTGCACAACCACCAGGGAATAAACCGAATAAGCCCCATAAGTTCATAAGCTGTGGCCAAATGGGGTTTGACTGAAACATGTTGTACCTGACAATCCAATGGTTTAGAACGTCGTTTTCCTCAAGACATTGTCATTTTAAGCAGACCCCCATGTGCAGACACATCGTCCAAACACCCATTGAAACTCAGACTTCCTCAGCTTCTCCCAACTTTCGCACTGCAATTTCCTTGCATCTAGCCTTGGTATCTGCGGGTATCGGGAGGCCAACAAAACCGGAGCGATCTTGAAATCCATGCATTCGTTGCAGGAAAAACTATGAAACCATGATTGTTACACCAAAATATAGGTTTCCTGCAACCGTTCCCTCCCATAGATTCTGGCATCAAATGTTTGCATATATTTTTGTCGGATAGGTAGCACTACAAAACTGGCGGCCACAACAAAGCATATCCCACGAAGAAGTGAAGACTCAACACCCTGGAAGCCACAAGGTGTCGATCGATCTTCCTAGCACCAAGGTGGCAACACTTTTCAATCCCCTACTGAACTTGCTGTCTCAATCTTTTGCATCCGCAGGTTTGTCATTTTGACCCAGGCCCATATCTATGCCCCAATTGGAAATGTTCTATCCCATGTTCGAACTCTGTGCGTACACACACGTACACCTCTAAATAAACAAATAATAAAAAATACCTAGACCCTCGAAACCCTGGAAAATTGTTGGTTATGTTCTGATAACCTGGTTATTCAAAGGATGTGATGGAAAAACCTGGTTTCTTCTAAAATACCTCGGTTCTTCCATAGTCTTCCTGTTTTATCCTGTTTTCACATGTTTATCAGATATCACATGGGGAAGCCTTTCCAATTGCATCTTCTTTGAGCTAATGGAACATGGTTTGTTTTGTATCAACTGAAGATATATACCCCTTTATAGATAATCCCCGCGCTGCAGGTGCGCAAATCATCTTGGATCCAGGGCTATCCAGGGTCTTGGCAACATGCGTGAACAATAAAGGGATGATCAAATGAACCCAAGAAAAATCGGTAGATCATCAATGTGGAAATATCAAGGCCTCTTGTTATTTCTCTGATTGGATGCACTGTGGACTTGAGCAACGCCTTCCAAGGAACATCATCTCTAGGGTGAAGTCTCATGGGTTACACCAATTGCTTGGTAAATTGTTTTTATCCAACATATCAACATATCCTCAAAGAATCAAATGTAATATCATTATCGTTTTGGATATTTAGGGGCTCGAGGCACATATATATATAATATGGATGCAGCACATCAGCAGCATCTCCCACTTGCGCATATCCACAGCGGATCGCTGCAATGGTGGAGCTTGCTGGCCACTCTTGAGGCCTGCATGAGTCCTGCGGTGATCATGGTCTGCAGAATGATCAAGTTGTGGCACTGAAGGATCATCACATATTTTTTTCAGGGTGTCAATGGTCTAGCTATATATTTTTTTATTGTGGAAAAGTTTTCAAAGAAAACTCATAGAAATTTATGCAGCTTGCATTTGAGGCAGCCGTGACATAGACTTGGCACGTGAAACAATTTGTTGGCCCCGAAGCAATATTTTCATTTTGCTCAAGGGCCTCGAAAAAAAAATGCCCAAAAGAGAAAAAGATGGCCGCCCAGGTGGCCAGTTGGACATTGAAGGGGTCCTGGATGAATGGGACTCAACCCAAGCTATCCGTGACCGGTTGCGGCAAGGTGGCAGACTTGTGGATACAACGGATTGCACAGTGAAAACGTGTGGTCAATATTCCGAAGTCTTGGGACCAATTATCCTTCGCATGGCCGGAGGCCCCAACAAGGTTCCTGATGTGAGTCCCCTCAGGGAGGAAATTTCCAATTTGTATGTCAAGAACAAACAGGACAAGTCCGTGGAACATGAAGATGTGATTGAAGAGAGTATGATTATCCGAAAAATGTGTGGGTTCGTGAAGATGAAGGTGAGAAGGGAAGAAGTTTCTGTAGTTGGTTGGCTGCATTGTTTGACCAGTTGTTGGAAAAGTTCAATTGTTTCCATTTGTTTCCCTTTTTCTGGATTATCAAGAAAATGATGATTTGTGTGAGATTTTGTTCATTGGAATTCTTCTCGATCTAAGGATCCTGATTTCCAGACCCTTTGCGCAACTCTGAACCCTACGATGGAGGACGGACTTGTATTCTACTTTTGCAAGCAAACAGATCTTGTAGAAAATGTTGCAAGTTTTGAACTTTATGTCACTGAAGCCTGCGTGATTCAAAAAATATTGCCCTTTCCTGGAACGTATATAGGCACTCGTCACTGCAGTCAATGCAAAGCGGAAATCCAAAGACTTTGCAGAGGAGTCGGACGAACCACTGCTTAATTAAGAAAGTGTTGCAGTCCTTCAAATGTGAAATGTGACCTCTTTCCAACATGTTCCCATCAACATGCTATCCAACATCTTTTAAATATATAAATATAAGAATTACCATATACCCCATGACTTCCATCTCCACCGCGGCCCAAGGAAGATCCTGACGCCCATGATGGGGAAGACGGTGAAGATGCTCCTGCAGGTGAAGAGGAGTCCGTAGCGGGTGACGAGTATGATGAGGGTGAGCAGGGGGAAGAGGAGGAAGTAGAGGATGATGAGTGTCTTGAGGAAGTCCCCACTGTGAAAAAGGTGATGCCGAGCCAGGATAAGTCCAAAGATGTAGAGATGACTGCTTCCCAAGTTGCCGAGACGACTGAAACAAGCACCAGTGCCCATGAAGTCGCAGTCTCTAAGCCCTCAGACCCAACACTTGAGGGAAACCCTGACCCTTTAGCTTCAGCAGCTACTGAGCCCAAAGGTCAACCAGCTCCACTTACCAACGCTTTGAAGGACAGTGAGACTCCCAGCCAGGTCTTACCAGCGCATCGTGATTCTAAAGTTGCAGGAAATGAAGCCAGTCCTGGATCTGGTTCAATGCCTTTGTCACAGAAGGGATCGGACGCTTTTGCTCCTGTGGGCAGTTTGGCAAAACATATATATATATCTGGTGTTCTCCAAGAGTAATCATGACACAAGTGCAGGGCGAACATATATCCATATATAGTTCCATGCCGTTTCAATTTGAAATACATAATGTTTTCTCCAAAGCATTGGGCATTATGCGTAAAACTAATGCCTGCGGTGCTCCGCCGCATAAGGTACCAAAAAAGCGGAACTTCTTGCTCAACAGGAGGAACTCAAGCGAAAGTTGGCCAAGTCGCTTGCCCAAAAAATTGTGGGATTCTGGGTGGGTTTCTGTGAAGATTTAGATCGTTTCAATTTCTCATGCTTTGACTAACATTGCACTTATCACTTCAAACAAGTTTGGCCTATATAGCCCATTTTCATGGCTTGCCTCTAGGAGACGAGAGTTGACGAATCAACTTTATCTTCCACCAGTGCCAGCCTTTGCCCCCTCGTCGAAGGAGACGGAGGCAAAACCCAGAGGCCATCCCAGGAAACTGTCATTTGGTTTTGGCAAGATTGGAAAATATATTGGCAAGAATGTGGCAATATAATTAATGTTTGGCTTATACAATGATGATAGCATCTGTGATCTTAATTGTTTACATGGAGACCCTGTTGCAATTTGAAATGCCGGGTTTGTATACATTTCCTGCCATACGCAGGTGCCGTTCTCGTTTTGGAATCTCAACCCTTTGTGCCAGAGAATGTTGACACCCTACCTGTCAACATCTTGGAGCTCCCCTTCCCTCCACCGTCGAGATCACCAACATCCCCTTCCCCGTCCTTGACCAGCGAGCAGCGACGGGCTGCATACCAGGGACCGGGAAAGTTGCCTCCCACAGTGACGCTTTCGGAAGGGGGTAAGAGTGAACCTGATGATGAAGAAGCCACCCCAAGTGAGGAGGCTCCCTCTATCTTTTGGTGTACTTGTCATTGAAAAAAATGTGAAGAAAGTCATCCACAAATCAATCCCAATTTTATCTAATATATATATATATAGCAATCTATTCAATCCCAATTCTCCAGGTTGTGTCCAGTCAAACCTATTGCCTATTGTACTTCTTTTTACGATATATATGTTTGTCTTTCGGCCAGGTCTTTCCGGATGGTGTGGCTCCCATTGAAAAGCAAGATCAGCTCAATCTTGGTGGCGACACCACAGGCCGCGGCAGAGGTCGCGGACGGGGAAGAGGACGTGGGAAAGGACGTGGGAAAGGGAAAGGATCAAAAGGTGGGAACAAGAAAGAACAAAAGGCAGACAATGAAAAGGAACCAAGGAAGGTTCGTAACAGTAGAAAGCCAAAGGATGGACAGGTTAAGCCAGACAAGCCCAAGGGCAAAAGCAAAGGTAGAAAGAAGGAGATGAGATCCGATGATCATGAAGACAAAGAGGAAGACCAAGGTGACCAAAGAGATGTCGAAATGAAGGAAAATGAGCCCGTAGCTGCCCCTGAAAATGCAGAGGAAGGAATCAATGAAACACCACCAAAACCGAAGGCAATTGTGAGGGCAAAGTCCACGGCAATGCTGACGGCTGCAAAGTCAAAGGCTTCAAAGAAAAGAGCAGAGTCAAGTTGTTGGCAATGGCAACCGGAGGACAGCGACAGCAATGCCCCACCTCAGCCGGCCCCAAAGAGAAGAGCAAAGAAGGTACGCAAGATCAGGGAACAGGAACCGGAGGCTAGGGAGCCCACAGTTGAGCCAGCCCCCAAGAGAGAAGCAACAGCAAAAGCGAAGGCAGCAGCAGCAGCACCGCAGGCAAGCATTCCTCAAGGCTTCGAAGCTCCAAGCTTTGATCACCAGGTCCAAGTCAAGGAGATTATGGAGTTTGCCAAAAAACTTGAAGAGTTAGACCCTGCGGATAGTAAAACCAGAGAAACGATCAGGGGAGAGTTGATGAAGTTTCCAAACTGCAAGTTGAATATCTACTGGACACGTCCTGCTTGTGGTCTTGGGTTGAAGAAGGGTCAAGACTTTGGATACTACGGCTTCGTGTCCGACACATGTTGGGCGCAGCGTATCGCAGTATGTTGCAAAGCTTGCGAGATTCTCGCAACTTGACTGCGCACCAATTCAAACATCAAAGTGGTGTTAATGCGCATTCCAGTCAGAAAGCACATCGTCATGAACAAAGAACCGTGTGTACCCGGTTTTTTAGAGTTATATATAATTAAGATCTATACTCAAGCCCGCTGCCCAGAGACGCCTTCTTGAGAAGAAGTTCAGTGACAACAAACTCAAGGTCGAGCCTAACGCGATCCGCAACTGCTCTGACATTCAGCAAATGAAAGAAGCCCTGCAAGCCAGTGGGCTACAGGCTCTTGAAAATTTGAAGGGTCGTTAGGCTTGGAGGCCATATTTTGACTTTCTCATATATGCCTTGAAAGCTTGGAACATGTGCGACCAGAGTGGCTCACTCTGATTGGGGATGCACGTGAAAGATCTGCAGGGCACTTTGGAAAGGGCCAGGTTCACCTTAAACTTTAAAATGTTTGTCGAAACAATTTGACTTTAATTGAATTTCAAATCCTTGATTTCAAACGGTAAAAGTGATGAAACAAACTTGGAAAATAGTCTTGTGATGTTTTGTGGATCTGGGGCCCGCCCGCATATTGGATGCAAGATTTTGGAACAAGATCTGCCAATCTGACAGCACTGGCCTAGATCGCACGCCATCTCATATATATGACACTATATTATACATATATATATATACCTATATAGTTTATAATATATTGTCAAAGTCTGTCTACTATATATCAAGTTGATTTTGAATGTTGTGCGCCAGCCTTTGCTGCCTTCCTGATGCGAGTCTAGATGTGTTCGCTCCAATCTGACTTCTTTGGCATGGGAAAAAACACTTGGGTGGATTGCCCCAGGGTCTTTTAAGACTAAAGTTGTGGGAGCCCTGAACTCATGAGCCAAGCCAAACCTTAATGCCAAGTTGTGGATCAGGATTCAACATCTCGATCATTATATGTTTGCAGTTTCTTCGTCTTTCTTCACTTGTTCCCAATAAACCATTGATCCCCAACCATCCCAGCTCCACTTCCGGTCAGGTGTGCGATGCCTCCAAAATGGAAGGTTCGATCGCTCCTGCGCAGATCCAAGAGTCATCCCGTGCATGTTTTTTTTTCCGGGTGAGGGTCACTTCGATAGGATCCCACATTTGCCAATGAGGTGACACATAAGTAAAAAGGAATAAAAGAACTGTCCCCAATATACTTGGAAATTGAAATTCGTTGAAGAGGAACTTTGCCATCATGGATTGACCCGCTCCATCAGAAAGCTGTTGGGATCTAGAATCCAGAGAAGCATGCAGCACTGGCATCCATTGATGGAAAACTAGACTGGAATCAAAAGTGAACCATTTCAATATGAATTTTGTTTGGTTTGCGTCGGCCATATCATTTACAAACCTGAGCTCAAATCTACCATTGTAGCCATGGGGATTGACCTTGATGCTTTGGTCTGGCGGCTCTGCAGCTTTGGTTGCCCCAAGGAGTTGGACGGTATGGATCACATGGGGATCAAATTGTATATATATATATAACACGATGGCTCAACGCAGTCAACACCATGACCTGAAATCATATTCCTTTTTAAGATATCCTTTTAAGAATATTGGATCCCAAGACTCAAAACCATATAAGATATTATATCATATCATATATATATATAAACATAAATTCGACTCTCTGTATATATCTTGAGCCTTGGGAACAGCCACAGCCGCAGGAATTTGTGGCCATTGTCTTGCTGACTGTTTTCACCTTCAAGCAGTTCAACCAGGCCACATATAGTTGGCGGGTTGGCTCAGCCCAGCGGAGTTTCTTATGTTGTCTCCCAAGTTTTTGCCATGCGAAAGTTTGCTGTGTTGTTTGTGGATTTCTTAGACCATGACCCCTGAAGGATTTCCAATTCTTAGAATTCTTTGCTGGCCGTGGGAATTTGACAATGTTTATGAAAGCTAGCGGATTCAAAAGTGCTCGATTTGACATTGACGACTCCACCAAAAAGCATCACCGCCGAAGCAACTTCATGGACATCTTATCTCCAAGTGGGTTTTGGATCCTGAACTGAACACCTATATGGTTTGGCTATTTCTTTTCCCCCTAAAATATATATGTCTCGATCTGAATATTCGTGGGTGTCCTGATTTGAAACCTCTTCGGGTCAACTAAGCCTGGCCATTCATTCTATTTTATGTGGCGCACCCAATGACTTCTTGGCCTGGTTCGGAATAAAGTGCAGTAGCTTCTCCAAGATGAACATCGGCACATCAATGAGGAGCCCTTTCGCAAGCATCGGATGTTATGACCATCCGAGCGTAAAGATGGCCAATGGGATGCTGGAAAGGACCCTTCCTAAACATATCCCAAAATGAAGGTGGACGAAACCAAGGGGATTATATGCAATTTCCAACTGGTGTATATATAATTGGGGTATATATATATATATTATATTATTATTATTATTATATATATATACATGTTTTGGGTCCTTGTTTTGTTTGGTTAATTTTGGGAACCATCTCTATACCATCTGAACCCTTTTGAACTGAACAAACATGCTGCCCTTCAAGGACTGTCCTTTTGATCTTATTGGTGACAATACTTGGGGGAGCATGGGCATTGGAACAGCCATCTGGATCGTTGCTCGAGTTCTATCCGGCTTTTCGACATATGCTGGCTGCAATCTTTAAGTGGGGAGGAGACTGTGCTGTTGGAGTCTTAGATCAACCAATGTTTGTATTGCAAAACTGCTGACATATATACATTTGTGAAGGGAGTAATCAGGGATATAGATTTATTTTCCGAGCCCCCAAGGTCACCAAAGTAAGCTGGTGGATGGCTCACTACAAGGCACCTACACAAAAGCGGCATTGGTGCTACGCCAATACACCTTTGATCATGAAACTGGATCAGGGTAAACTCTCAGGGTTTACATCAAGAGTCCAAACAGCAAAGCGTTGGAAGGATCGCAACGGGAAATACCACTACCAGGGGACATCAGCACTTCGGGGCACACAGAACCTATAGATGATTTGGATATTTTTTCCCTTTTCAATGGACTTCCAAATCAAGTTTTCCACAATTTTCCATAATTACCACCAATTGAATGGTTCAGTGGATTGTTTGTTTGGCAAAAATGAGGTTCATAAGGTTTTACTCTGCGACCCGTGCGGCTCAGGACATATCCCATGGCCTTTGCTCGACGAGTTGGTGACATTGTGGAGGGCCTCAAAGAATCAAAGCGGGGGCAACCTCCAATCCCTCAACATTTACCACCAGCCACGGAGACATTTTCTAAAATGAAATGGGGCTCGACTGGTTTGTTTGGTTTCGCCGACCTATCAAATATCTACACATATTTGCGATTCGGAAAGGATCTTCAAATTCCACCCGAATGGGATGGAATGTTCCCAAAGCGACTTTTCTAGCTATGACTGGTCGAATTTACCCGAGTGCACAACACATTTTTTCGACATTGGATTCATTTTTTGAATCTTTAGTGATTTTGGGCTCGGAAAAAGTAGGTTCTTTGGGAAAATGTAGGTTGAACCCGTATTTATCCCGTAAAGAACCCATATTTATCCCATAACAACCCGTATTGTACCCCTATATGAGAATAACCTACTTTTTCCGCAACCCGTATTTATCCCGTAAAGAACCCATATTTATCCCATCATAACCCATAAAATTTTATGGGTTCTATATAGGAAAAAATAGGTTCCAACAAGATTACCAAAATGCAACTTTTTGATGATTTTTGGGGCACGCGGGTGACCAAGTGTTTGCCACGCAGACACCATGTTTGCGCAATTCAACAAACGTGTGGATTGGTACACACGGGACGGTGTTCAAAAGAATGGAAAAAGACCGAATCATTCTACAGCTCTGCTTAAATTAAGTTTGCGAGTTTTACCTTCGCCCTGTTTTGTTGGAACTTGACCATGTATACACAATTGAATGGCCTTTAGTGTTTCGTATCAAAACTGGCCTTGAAGCCCAGGGTTTCACTGGCAAAATGTCTTCCAGAGACACGTGTGACATGACCACTAAGCAATGGAGTACCGCCACTCTAAACGATGGAGTTGCCCATGTACAGAAGATTGCTAAGCAAGAGCTTGAAGAATCAGAATCGGATTTGGAGCGTCAGCTAGAGGACTGTTATCTGTGTCGAAAAAAACAAATGTTGAATTTGGGGATTTATATACCGATTGCAATTTACAACTTGGGCCTACAAACCGTACCATCCCTGAGGAGCTTCAACGCCAAATAGATTGTTGCCCAGATCAGGATGTCACTTGGATGGGTAAGACTCAGTTTGGGGGGTTGCCAAACACTTTCCAAACCATTTGAGATTAAAATTGTTTATATTTCAACAACAATGCCTTTTCTATACTTCTATAATACATCTTTCCATCCAACCCACTGAGGCCGTGCCTCCTGCGAAGATGCCGGAAAGTTCAGGGTCGCCTCGGGACATCTCAAACCAGGATACTTTGGAAGTTACTTACCCTTTGAGACTTATATATATATGTATATATTCCGGAATATGTTCTTAAACTGTTTGAATGTTTGCTTAAACTTTTCAAGCCTCTATATATATATATATGTGATTATATACGCACATGTAAGGCTACTCCGGGCGAGATTGCTGCCAATCTTGGATTGCCTGAGAATGACATCGCTATCAAGTTGAAAACCATTGTGGTTGAGAAGTTTGATCCTTTGGTACAGTACTTCAAGTCAGGTGATGGAGAAGCGGATGTGAAGCAAGTAGCTTGTCTTAATGTATATATATATAGTATATATAATATATATATACATTTATTTATTTAAAACGGGGCCAAGCTCTTTTTCCTCCCATGTGGTTGCAGCATAACAAGGAATAGCAACCTCTTTCCAAGGCATTTCGCACGATCATGGAGGCAGCGGTGGAGACAAAGGATGAGAAATTGCTTCAGTACACCCTGATGGCAGCAGAACAAGTGGCAGCAGCGCAGAGTTCAGCAGCTCCCGTTGCAACCCCTGTCCGTAAGCGCCCAGAGGATG